GAGATGTCATTTGAAGCAAAAGTTTACGGACGACGGACGGACGGACGGACGCCGGACGAAAAGCGATCACAAAAGCTCACCCTGTCACTTTGTGACAGGTGAGCTAAAAATGTCATTTTTATTGGTTCTTTTGAAATATTTTTTTGACAAACAGTTCTGGAAAAGGTTCACTTATAAGATGGAAGAAAAATCTCATTCTCTTATATTTATATTTTAATATTTTCCGATAAACGTTAAGTACCTTGATATCATAGAACCCCGGGCTACTTACACTGGACAACATAGCTCCCAACCTATATATTTGATCCCCATGTGAAATAGAAAGTAGTTGAAAAACTTTATTTACTAGCAAAACTGTAACCTATATCAATATAAAAAACTTTTATTTTATCCATGCATGTACTTCTAAATCACAGTTTAACATTATCACTAACCAAAGTTTGTTTGTTTTGTTGTGATTTTTTTTTCAAAAAAAAAAAAAAAATCAAAAAAATCTTAACAATCATAAAATAAATCAATGTTAAAAAGTGCTATTCTTTTTTCTTAACACACAAGAAGTTTGGCACAGAACTTGAGGTAAAGTTACTAAAATTACAGACTAAAAAAACAAAAGTTAAAATCAAAATAATCACATATTAAATTTTCCCCAACTATTATATTTTAAATATATTAAATTCATATAACAAAAATAATTACATCTAACTTGGTTTGTCAAAGTAAAACTGTTGTTCATCTTATTTTTTTCAAACATATTAATTTGGTGTATAAAAAGTTTGTACTGGGCAGACAAAATACATCAAACAATACAATACAAAACAGTTAAACTGATGTATAAACCTTAACCTAATGGAACTGAAAGTGACTAGCCCTTGCCACTTGTGTGGAGCCAGGCCAGCCTGAACATTCATGCAGTCTAACCAGGCTCTATACTGGTGGTGGACTTGTCTTTAGAATTTTCATCCTGACATCCCTACAGTTAAATAATGTACAGTTCCGGAAAATAACAAACAGAAAACTGGTTAAGTCTGTTTAATAAATTCTGGAGGATAATGGCTAAGCCTCCGATCAACAGCAGTAAAAATAAACGAAAAAATTCAGATCTTGTGATGTAATCTCTATAAGACAAGAGGACAGAAAACAAACTACCTACATGTATTTTATCTATAGATTTACACATCAATTTAAGCCCCAAGCAAAAATGATTAAAATACAAAACTTGTACAATCATGTATCATGTTTTCAAATGAACATGTTTAATAAACAAGCTTTTGATCAGTGTATTATTGACTAGCTTTAACATTTTTCAAATTGTTTTACATATCAAGCTGGCATAATGAATTGTCATAAAATTGTCATAAATAAAAAGTACACTTGCACTTCAAATAATATTCAGAGGAAAACCATATCAGTTTTTCCTCTACCAGCTAAGCTGAAAAGTTGCTGTAATTACTAAAACAGCTTCTGTTTCAATATTGGTCAAGAATTCTAACATGGCCAATCAAGTTAATTTACAAAATTTTACATTTCCCAATTGATAGTTGAAAGTTTCAAAAAGGAAGTTGGAAAGCTGAGACATGAAAAATGCAGTTTTGATAGTAATGTCACAATAATTAAAAAAAAAATAATGCTGAACATACATGTGTATTTTCTTGGTGAAAAATTTGTATATTAATAAGTCATACATATGTACTTGCACATGTAAATACCTGCCAACAAGACAAAAGAATAATAGAGAAAAAACAATGTCAAAATTTACATTAAAGGAACTCCACTGAGGTCCAAAAGCCTAAAAATATAAAATTTTGATTTTCTTACTTAGATCAACTTGGGCACTTTAAACAGAATGATATGCAAAAGATATTTAAGAAATATACTCAAAATAAATTGGAAATTGTATTTTTGTGCTTTTTTAGGCAGATATAAATGAAAAACATTGCAAAGCTTTACAATTTCAATTCATTTTTAAAACTTAGAATTATCATTCTGGAAAAACGGAGTGAATGAATGATCTGAAAGTTTGTACAAACATTATTGGTCTAGATCTACATCAAATGTAAATTATTCTTGAAAAATTATTTCCAGTCTTGTCTTGTCAAAAAACCTCAATAGAGTTCCTTTAAAATCTTGTAATTTTTTTCTCTAAAATTGACTACAATAATCTAGGTTTTATAATAAAATTTGTGGATTCATTGCAGCAACATTGCAACTTGGTTATCTGAGTAAAGTAAATATAAGAAAATTAAGCCAGTATGTATAAATGAGGGGAATATATCACTACAAAATAATAACAAACTTTGTAAAATTGAAACATCAATAAAATACACCCCAACCTATATTGTTAATACTGCAAAATTAAAACAATTTACAAGATTTTTGTCTACAAAGTTTAAACTTTAACCTCTATTTCCTTAATTCCTTTTCTTCTAAGAAAATTCCTTTTAATAATAATCATAAGATGATTTGAGAAAAGATTAAGATGTTTGTTTGTCTGTTTTTTGTTTTTTACGCCAATTTTAACACATCATTTCTTGGGTGTTAATTCACCTAACAGGCATTCTTGGATAACCAACCAGTAATTGACAACTTCTGCACAAGTGACCGACTACTAATCTCACATAATTTCTGAATCAGCGGTGGGAGATAAATGACCATAAGACTTAATGTCAAAGATCAAATGTCTCAGAGAAAATTATGCCTTGCCCGAGGATCGAACCTGCGACCCCTTGAATTAATAATCTGATGCTCTACCTACTGAGCTAAATGAGTGAACAGATAAACATGTAAAATATAAATAAAGGACTTTAAGTAGATACATTGTAGTTTGTAAGTGATACACATTGAAATAAGCCATTTAAGCATTTAAAGCCTATTGTCTGTAACACCAACTTGGAATAAAAAACCCTGAACAATCAAATCCTATTATAGTTTAAGAAATGCCGACTCAGCAATTGAGACAAATATTTCAAATAGGCAAAGAAAAGATTCAGAATGTTTTTTTTTTTTAATCTCATACGGTTACCGTATGCTATTTTATCTACTTATGCTAGAAATTAGGCCTGAAAATTAATAGTTTCTTTAAATGGAGTTGAATAGACAGTTAAACATTAACAAGAGGGCCATGATGGCCCTGGATCGCTCACCTGACACAACCGCATCCAAGCAATGTCTTAAACAAGCATCATGACCAAGTTTGATGCGACTGAGTCAAACATGTGACCTCTAGTGTGTTATAAAGACTTTTCCATATTTGGGCGATGTGACCTAATTTTTGACTGGACACGACCTATATTCAAACTTGACCTAGAAATCATCAAAACAACCTTCCTGACAAATTTCCAGGAAATTTGGATCAAAACTGCAGCCACTAGAGTGTTAACAAGCTTTTTCTATTTTTAGCTCCTGTGACCTAGTTTTTGACCAGACATGACCCATCTTCGAACTTGACCTAGATATCATCAAAACAACCTTCCTGACAAATTTCCAGAATATTTGGATGAAAACTGCAGCCACTAGAGTGTTAACAAGCTTTTTCTATTTTTAGCTCCTGTGACCTAGTTTTTGACCGGAGATGACCCATCTTTGAACTTGACCTAGAAACCATCAAAACAACTTTCCTGCAAATTTCCAGAATATTTGGATGAAAACTGCGGCCACTAGAGTGTTAACAAGCTTTTTCTATTTTTAGCTCCTGTGACCTAGTTTTTGACCGGAGATGACCCATCTTTGAACATGACCTAGATATCATCAAAACAACCTTCCTGACAAATTTCCAAAATATTTGGATGAAAACTGCAGCCACTAGAGTGTTAACAAGCTTTTTCTATTTTTAGCTCCTGTGACCTAGTTTTTGACCGGAGATGACCCATCTTCGAACTTGACCTAGATATCATCAAAACAACCTTCCTGACAAATTTCCAGAATATTTGGATGAAAACTGCAGCCTCTAGAGTGTTAACAAGCTTTTTCTATTTTTAGCTCCTGTGACCTAGTTTTTTACCCGAGATAACCCATCTTCGAACTCGACCTGTATTTCATTGAGAAAAACATTCTGACAAAGTTTGATGATGATCCAATCAAAACTGTGACTGCTAGACTGTTAACAACCCAATTGTTAGAGTGTTAACAAGCTTTTTCTATTTTTAGCTCCTGTGACCTAGTTTTTTACCGGAGATGACCCATCTTCGAACTTGACCTAGATATCATCAAAACAACCTTCCTGACAAATTTCCAGAATATTTGGATGAAAACTGCAGCCTCTAGAGTGTTAACAAGCTTTTTCTATTTTTAGCTCCTGTGACCTAGTTTTTGACCCGAGATAACCCATCTTCGAACTCGACCTGTATTTCATTGAGACAAACATTCTGACAAAGTTTGATGATGATCCAATCAAAACTGTGACTGCTAGACTGTTAACAAACCAATTGTTGACGACGAACGACGCACGACGACGCACGCCGGACATAGCCCCATCACTATACCTCACCATGACCACTTCGTGGTCAGGTGAGCTAAAAACACTGACATTGTATTAGTTTATGTGCTATAACAATACAAGATATAAGAAATTGTATGTGTCATTTAAAACTACATATTAATTTTTTTTGCTGGATTTATTTTATCATCTATTTTTTGGTCAAAACATCAATAAATATTTTTTGTCAAACTTTAGAAAACACTTAAGTGTTATAATCAAGAAATAAGGAAAGTCAGGAAATTGCAAACATATTTCTTTATGGCTTAAAAGTTACTAGATATTAATATTTTTAAACTTGTATGTTACTTAGAATAGCACAAAAACAATATCTAATTAACTACAAAACTAACTACTAAAATCATAAAAAAAAAATTCCTTTAACCTTACAATAAAAAGTTTGAAGTATCATTTGAATCACTGGATATTTGTAGAAAGACAAACAATGAAACATTATAAAGTTAAATAAAATACATGAATACTAATGCCTAGCCTTTATATATATAATCATCATAAATTATAATTACAATTGTGACTAGCTTGTTTTAGTTTCAAAATTACTTTTATCGAATTTAACTACCATAACTGTTATATTATCTAAAGATCCACGATAATATGCTTGTAGAATAAGGCTTTTAGCACCAAAATGTGGTTCGTCTAAACGTTCTAAAATAAATTGCACTGCCTCCTCGTTTGAAAAACAATCCCATAATCCATCTGTAGCTAAAATTATAAATTTAGGTTGAACGTCGTTTAGATTAAATGTTAGAATGTCAGGTTCAGCAATTATAAAACGTTTGTCTTTTAACGGGTAATCTCCAAGTGCCCTCGATGTAGCTAGAATCCCTGCTACTCGCCATACACCGTAAAATCCTACAAAGCCACCAGCGTCTTTAATTCTTTGATGTTCCTTCGTCTAGAATTGAAATAGAACATAAACTGTTTGAGCTAGCATTCAAAGAAAAACATATTTACGAAAAGTGAAACTTACAGACCACATAAAGTATCTTCAAATATAATTAATGCTATCTGTGTAAACCTTAAATAAAACTACAATGATAACAATATTACATTTTGATGGCTTAGTGCAATACTGGTCTAACTGCTATTTTTGAAAATTTTCAGGAAACACAAAAAAACTTACTTTATATGCATGAACTTATATATCAGCAAACATTTTTTTGCTAAACTGACATGAATTAAGAAATGGTAAGAAATATTGCAAACCCTATAAATTTTTTCAAGTTCTGTGGTCGTCTCCAGACAGTTACATGTATTTACTAACCATAAATTGAATCATCTTTTACTTCTTTTGTATTTTAGCATTTAGTACAATTATAATGTATTAATATTTTGTATGGAAGTCAGTTTCTGTATTTATAACACCTTTATCAGGCCACAATACAATATTAGAGAAAATGCACAATCTAAAAGTGATTTACGTAATATCGATACTGTGACAGACTGACAAGTCACAATGCAATTGAAAACAAAGACCTGAAGTGTTCCACCATGCATTTTTTTCATATTAAAGCCAGCACCTTAGTAAAAATTACTGACATTAGGCCAGCCAACATAATATTGTCATCACAATGAGAGACTTCAATCAGGTCAATGACCCTGCCTGGCAATATCAGAACAGGTCAAATGTTCTTATATACTTCACCATCAATACCTCCTTATATATTTGTGGATGTTGGATACTGAAACAATACTGAAAATTCTTTACTTTGAAAATTTTGTTTATAACTTTATTCAGAAAAAGATGGCTTTTGGGAGTACATGTATAAAAAAAACCTAAAATTCAGTTATAACTCTAAAAACTTTCATTCACCCATGTTTAAATATATTTTCGGGATTTTTTTTTATACTTATCTTTACCTCATTAGGTTTATGATCTACAGACAGTGGAACTGTTTTACCATCCTTATCACACATTACACCTCTGGAATCACCTACATTAGCTACTGTCAGTGTATTGTTGGTTACCATAGCAACTAGAGCTGTTGACCCTGAAATAAAAATAATATTTTACATTTGGAATGAATCAAATTCAAATTTTCTGCCATACATAGATTTCCGTGCAGAGACACACTATCTATACCATTACACACATTCCAGTAAATGTATAAATTTTGTAAATTTGGTAAAGTTTTGCATTAATAAAATCAACATTAGATTCAGTTTGTAAAACATGAACAAACCACATGAAAGGTAAAAGTGTAGGCAAGTTTAGAAAGCCTTGACATTCAGCATAATTTTACCTTGACCAATCTTCAGTCCCTTTTCTGAAACAGTTTTGTAAGGACCTTATTTTATTGGCAGGGCACAGGCCCTTCCAAACATGGAGAAAAATAACACAGTATTTTGCAAACATAGTACATGTACATTGATTAAAATATGACCCTGGTCAAAGTTTATACTCTGTAACCTTAGAAGCTGTTATAAAGTTCACCTTTATTCATCAAAATCAATACTAATTATACTAACAAAGGCATATCATATTGATTCAACCTACACTTTACCCGAGTTATTACATTAATACTGATATAGACAGCTTCTTTATACAAAACTATTAAAGCTAATATTTCAATGAGGAGGTAAACCTAAAAGATTCTTTATTTATAATAAAAGAAAGTCGGTTACCACAGATTTTCATACTTTGACAATATATATTGTAATTTCCAAGTATTGAAACAAGAGGGTTAAACAATCTCGCGTATCTTCCCAACCTGTCACAACTTAATTATTCACCATACTGAAATTAAGGCAACATATGTAGATCAAAATGCCAATGTGTACCTTTCCCAACCACCCACCAATCACTCAAACAAAGAAATAAATTGAACGCAATAATAAAATCAAGTAACATATGTACATCAAGAGGCCTGTCATACAAGATTTTTCAATCAATAATTAAAACAGAGAAGTCACTGTGTTACTGATTCAGCAAACATTTCTCAATAAAAAATTGTCAACAATTTACTGCAAAGGTTAAACATTTTATCTATTTCCTGCTCTCTATTTTTCCTCTTTTATTTCCTTTTTGGTCAGATGTTAAAGGAATATAATATTATATAATAATATAAAAACTGGACACAATTTTTCATTTTGGCATAATAACAGTAGTTTGTGAAGAGTTGTTCAACTTAAAAACAAACTAGAAATGTATTCATAGGAGATTGATACCCCCACATAAATCACACACTCCACTGTTTGTCAATCTACTGACTCCAGGTCAAATATTTTTGGGCTATACGCAACATAAGTCGAAAAATGCAAATCTTTTACTAGGTCAAGGGCAATAACTCTGACAACACTTAATAAATCCACAAACGAAAACCTAGATGAGCAGCTTCACAAGCTGATCAACATTCCTGTAAACTTTGTTGGCTCTAGCTTAAGCACTTTTAGAGCTACATGACACAACATGAGAACTGATGGTCAGACAAGAGCAAATCTAAATGCCCCCCACCCCCCTCCCCCCGAAATCCCTAAACTAACAATTCTAGATGGTTCCAAATTCAAAGCAAGACATATCCATTATAATAATTCAGCCGGGTTAAGGTAAAATTTCCACATACCTGATAAATCATCTTGTTTTTTTGTTTGTTGTAAAATCTGTTCATCCACCTCTAAGATTTGTTTGGTTAAAATCTCCCCATGTTCTTCATCATTGTCATTCACATTGGATAGCACCATGGAAAATAAATTATCTTTTGCGTATTGAGCTACAAACTGCAATAAGAAAATAATAATAGTTCTAATAGTGTGCAGACTTGTTAACTATTGTTGATTCAGATCATTTGAGATTGAGCAACAAGTGGAACTGTGTTATTGACAGTATACCTGAAAGGAACTTTCTGGTTTGAATAACAGTAGAGTGGTTTTATATATTAATGTGATTTAATATCAGATTACACAGTGACAGTGAACTTTTAATAAATTATATATCATACGAACCAAAACCTATTTGGATTTGTTGTTACTTTAATTTAACTGCAAATACCCAAAGGTAACATATAATTCCTATATTATGCTTTTTTCCCTCTTTTGGTAATATAAAAAAAACAGCATTTCCTTGAAAAATTCTCAAACTCGTGCTACAAATATTTTAAACAGATGTTTAGTAATATTTTGTTGTACTCTTATCAGAAATAAATTTTTGTTTCTTACTCTTTCATCATCGTACACCACCAGTATAGTGCAAGGATACTTATGGACCTACTTAGATTGATTATGCTGATGGGTGCTCAAGCTTAAACATTTCACCTGCTTGAACCAAAAGTGATAAGCCTTTTCCACCAGTATAAAGTCTGGCTAGCTTAATTGTGCTCATTTGTGTAGACTAACCAGTGAGGCACTATTTTTTTGGTTTGCTCAATATTTGTATCTTGATATTGAAATCTCTTCAACTTTGAATGGAAAGTTCTAAATTCAAAGAACAAATATTTAGTGATATTTATAGTGTTTATCATTGGACAAGCCTTTTTGTTAAGTAAAAAGTCTAATTTGATATGTATTTAAAGGGACTCCACTGAGGTGTTTTGACATGATGGGACTGAAAATATTTTTTTTATATTAATTGTACCATTTGATGTAGGTTTAGACCACTAATCTTTGTGCAAAATTTCAGATCATTCGCGCACACCGTTTTTCCAGAATAATGATTCAAATTGTAAAAAACTGACCCAAACTGAAAAACGTTTAAACGCTTTTCACTCAAATTAGGCTAAAAAAAGCATAAAAATACGATTTTCAATTTATTTCACGATTTTCAATTTATTTCAAAGTATATTTCTCAACTATCTTTGCATATATTACTGTTTAAAGTGCCCCAGCTCATTTATGTAAGAAATTCAAATGCTATGTTTTTAGACTTTTAAACCTCAGTGGAGTCCCTTTAATAATTCTTTGATAGACGTTTGTGCTGATTTTAGTATCTTTAACAGAAATATAGCAGAACTATTTTTACATCACTCAGTATGCAAAGAAAATATTTTCAATGACTTCAATGGAATAAATTGTAAAAATTGTGAAGTAGTTTACACTTAAGTCCTTGTTACCACAATTTTAATTGGCATGGCTGAATTTGAAGTGTGTGGTAACAGAATTTAGCATACTAGTGATTAAGATGGAGAAGAAAATCTAGCACTAATATCAACAAGAGGGCCATGATGGCCCTGGGGTCGCTCACCTGTACATAGGGCCCAAGGGCCGGGCCAGTTTAAACCAAAGGGCTTTTATTTGAAAAAACTTGGAAGACACCCATTAGAAGATGTTTCATGATGTTAAGTTTTTACTATACACAAATAATGAAAAACAATGACTTTTGCCCCCCCCCCCTCCCCCTGGCAGGGCCAATTTTAACCCAAGGGCTTTTATTTGAACAAACTTGGTAGACATCCATTAGAACATGTTTCATGCTAAATATCTTAGCTCTAGCTCTTTGGGTTCTTTAATAGAAGATTTTTAAGTTTTTACTCTATGTATATAGGGAAAATCAATGACCCCTGGGGCGGGGCCAATTTTGACCCCAGGGCTTTTATTTGAACAAATTTGGTAGACACCCATTAGAAGATGTGTCATGCTAAATATCTTAGCTCTAGCTCTTTGGGTTCTTTAAAAGAAGATTTTTAAGTTTTTACTACATGTATATAGGGAAAATCAATGACCCCTGGGGCTGGGCCAATTTTGACCCCAGGGCTTTTATTTGAACAATCTTGGTAGACACTCATTAGAAGATGTTTCATGCTAAATATCTTAGCTCTAGCTCTTTGGGTTCTTTAAAAGAAGATTTTTTAAAGTTTTTACTATATGCATATAGGGAAAATCAAAGACCCCCTGGGGCGGGGCCAATTTTGACCCCAGGGCTTTTATTTGAACAATCTTGGTAGACACCCATTAGAAGATGTTTCATGCTAAATATCTTAGCTCTAGCTCTTTGGGTTCTTTAAAAGAATTTTTTTTAAGTTTTTACTATATGCATATAGGGAAAATCAATGACCCCCTGGGGCGGGGCCAATTTTGACCCCAGGGCTTTTATTTGAACAATCTTGGTAGACACTCATTAGAAGATGTTTCATGCTTAATATCTTAGGTCTAGCTCTTTGGGTTCTTTAAAAGAAGATTTTTTAAAGTTTTTACTATATGCATATAGGGAAAATCAATGACCCCCTGGGGCGGGGCCAATTTTGACCCCAGGGCTTTTATTTGAACAAACTTGGTAGACATCCATTAGAACATGTTTCATGCCAAATATCTAAGCTCTAGCTCTTTGGGTTTTTTAGAAGAAGATTTTTAAAGTTTTTACTATATGCATATAAGGAAAATCAATGACCCCCTGGGGGGGGGGGCCAATTTTGACCCCAGGGCTTTTATTTGAACAATCTTGGTAGACACTCATTAGAAGATGTTTCATGCTTAATATCTTAGGTCTAGCTCTTTGGGTTCTTTAAAAGAAGATTTTTTAAAGTTTTTACTATATGCATATAGGGAAAATCAATGAGCCCCTGGGGCGGGGCCAATTTTGACCCCAGGGCTTTTATTTGAACAATCTTGGTAGACACTCACTAGAAGATGTTTCATGCCAAATATCTAAGCTCTAGCTCTTTGGGTTTTCTAGAAGAAGATGTTTAAAGTTTTTTCTTTTGGTTGCCATGGCAACCAGAGTTCTGCATGTAATGGAATTCTTTGAACAACTTTGTTAAGGCTTCACACAAGGAACATATCCCTGTGTAGTTTCATTATGATCTGCCTTATGATTTCAGAGGAGATGTCGTTTGAAAAGTGTGAACAACGGACGACGTACGACGGACGACAGACGAAGAGTGATCCTAATAGCTCACCCTGAGCATATGCTCAGGTGAGCTAAAAATATATTTTTCTCATTAATGCAGAAGGGATTATTAACTATCAACATTTTTAAAAAGTAAGAAAGTATATCACACAAACAGGGCTTCTATTAATTTGAAAACCAGGGACTGCAAAATGTTTGATATTGGAAGTTACATTATATAGGTAAAGAAGGAAAAGCATTATATTGTAAAGTCACACGTCAAGGAGTATAATTTGCTCCTAAACTTCCCTGACAAACAAGACAGGGCCTTTTCACTAGTTTTGGGGAAGGCGCCCTAGCCCTTTTTGTGGGCAAAAAATGCGCGATTTTCACACTTTTTGGGAAAATATCATATTTTCACACACTTCGGGGGAATATCATAATTTATTTGCATATCTTCCTCCAATCACATTTAAGGTTTACTATAGTACTAAGCTTTCTGTCCAACAGGAGTAAAAGACATTTTTTACAGATCAATTTATTGCCCCTTTATATAAACTCATATTTCCTAATTAGAGAATTTTACGTAGGTCATGTGAGGGTTCTTGCTTTGATTCAGAGGGAACATTATTATCAGTTCCCACTGTATTACTTGCACTGTTGTGCTAGGCTCGCTTTTTCCGACAGTTGGGCATGTTGTGCTACTAGGACACAGGGAGTTTCTAGGGGATACATGTATTGGATTCTGTTGCACTTACAAGGTCATCAATTCATCCAATTTGTAATAAACAATTACAAACGTCACTCAATCGTATTTTCTTCATGTTCTGTGACATTGTTTACATTAGCGACACCGTAAATCGGTCGCCATATTGTCGTAAAAAATCACATGTGCACTAAAAAATAAGGCAGGGTTTTCCCATGCTGTTTTTAGAAAGTTGCAAACTCAGACCGAGGCTCTGAGTTAACATCAATTGTATTAAATCAAGGTATCCCTCTATTGCGTATTTGAATTATTAGCTTTCATTGGAGAAAACAACTATCATTTTTTTACAAGTTTTATTCTTCAGTTTGTCTTTTCTTTACAAGGGGAAATATTTGCCAGAAGGGGAATTTTAGACTATTTTTGGGGGAAAAAAGGTAGTAATTTGGCTTGGGGAAGTAGCCGGATAACAGCTACAGCAAAGAAGGGTAAAAAGGCCCTGCAAGAATAGCTAATAAACATGATATGTTATAAGGTTATATATGTGTCTATGATTTGATATAGGCAGTCAGTAATTACCGCACCAATCAGTGAAATACAGCTAATTTGATTGTAAAATACAGCCATTATCATTAACAAGTAAATGAAATATAAACATGTTTCTTAAAAGAATGCAAGTCAATACTAATCTTTGGCTCTTTCAAAGTTGAAACTAGCAAAAATTTATATTGCAGCTTAAGACAACATTAAATTCTAGGCATGCAAATTTGCTTTTGTCTTATTTACATTTATATGTACTGAAATATGTAAATAAACATGCAATGATATATGTATAATAATGATCTGTAAAGTTTACAACAAACCACAGATGTCGGGCAAATAAATCATATATTTTATATATATATTTTATGCCCTATGATGAAAGTAGGCTTCTACATGTAAATGATTGGCAAAACATCATTTAGTTATCAATCATTTGTCATAAATATAAAAATAAGAAAAAAATTCAAGATTGCTATGTTTCAGTTGCAATTCTGATGTTAATTAACACAAAACAAGTGGAAAGAATATTCTCGAATCAATGAAAAAAACATTATTGTGAGATTTATAGCAAATTTCTCTTAAAACAAACAAGCATTGTAGATTATGTGTTTGGTGTTAAACATTATATCACTAGTTACCTGGCAACACGTTCACCCAATTGTGAACACTGCAAGATCTACATTAATTAATAAAAGTTTGTGACAAGTTATTTTAACAAGCATCTAATGATGCCCAGGCACATTGCTTTAGATAAATTTTTGACATTTGACTAATTGTGATAACTGATTTTGACTTTTGGGTAATTTGAGATTCTAATAATAATGCAAAAATCATAGTTAATGATAAAGAACATGTGACAAGTTTCTTTAACAAACTTGTCCAGACAAGAAAGTTTAAACCAATATATAACATTCAAGTTGAGATTAAATGTGACCTTGACCTACATGTACAAACATTTACCATTTGGCTATCAACACAAAATAATCATTATTGAAGTAGTAATTATTCTGTAACCTACCAAATATTTCCTTTAAGTAATGAGTGTTAATAAATCTTAAACCTGCTAAATGTCTTCCATTTACAAATTTAGTACTGTCTTTTATCAATTTTATGTTATCTAGATGAAAATTTGAAGCTGGTTATCAAAAATAGGGTGTCCGTTTGACCTTTGAAATGGCTCTTTGACCCTTCAAATTTCCAAAAGGCCTGATATGACCCTTAGGATTTTAACTGGAGGGTCAAATCTTTGTTAAATTCATGGGGATTTGACCTTGTAGTCGGTAAAACTAACTAAAAATGACCCTCAGGATTTAGTGGCTAGTGAACACCCTGTAAAAGAAATTATTCGGACAACCACTTTGTATTTTGAACAACAAAATTTTCTTGAACAGGTTGCCCGAATGACAACCATATCTAAATCCTAATTTCACAGACTGAACTTCTTGCCTGTTGCTGCATCACAATCGCCAGATCATCTGACATCAGAACATTGCACCTTGATCTATCTTTCTTGCATTAATGTCAAATTCCATTGCAAGGAAGTAGACATGACTCTAGACTTCAGATATAAGGGAATCCTGGAACCAATCCCTAGCTCTTATTGAATAGACCCCTTGGTTCTTTTACATGCCCAGTGAATAGCACTGATAAATGCGAGGATTTCCAGGATATCTTACCAGTACACCTCTCAGTAGGTGGGAAACACTTAAAGCATCTCTGAAAAATCCCAACAGTGTTACCAAGGACGTAAGGGGTGACAGTCAGTGGTCTAACCAACTGAGCTATCGCGATCTACCCACAAATTTTTAATAAAAATAACATTTGGAAAATAAAATAAATTCTTTAAATTTAAAAAGGTATACATTTGTACATGCGTAAAGAAGTTAAGTTAAAGAAACTACTCACATCACCACCGTGTCCATCAAAAATTCCATATAATGAAACTTCACTGCCATTATTATGAATTCGAAATCTATCTTCCATATGCGGCCTACGTCCTTGTATTGAATAGGCAGCTACATTGCTACTTTTAAAATCCCATGAAAATCTGTTAGGGTCAGATGGCCAGTATAGATCATCACTTCTTTGTGAACTACTGCCACTTTGATATATAAAATTCCTGGAAGGAATCCCTAGTTTTTGTTTCGCTCGTCTCCATAGAGGTGGGACGTTCACAAATGTGTTGTAAAGAACCACTAACAAAACTATGAGAATAAATGACTCAGGACACAATATATATCGACGAGCCATTCGCCACAAATAGGACCAGTACGACATTTTACCATAGTTAGTATGATTTATTCCTTGTTTGTTTGACTTGGCAGCAACTTCCGGGATTCTGCTTTCATCTGCATCACCTAATGTTTGCTTATCGTCAGATGTAATGATCGTCTGCATAACTTTGAATCTTGGGTTCATGACCACTAAATTTATTCCTTCAGTATTCGTTATGCAGAGTTATTGCTTTTAGAACTATATCTAAAATCTTATTATTTAATATACAAAAAGTTTTATTTTATCAACATCACACATTGAAAAGAAAATAATTTTATTCTAAAAGTTATTATCTCAAAATGATTGTTAAAAAAAGAAAAAATAACTCAGGACTGTGGTTGTTAGCATTAAGTATCTAATAAGCAACTAGCAGAAATTTAGATCAACAACTTAGAATAAGCAGCTGACATAAATTAAATGGCAACTGGCAATAAATACATTAACTGGAAATTGGCAAAGAATAATCCATATCTTGCAAATCACAGGTATTTCCCAACTTTCAGAGAAACAGCATGCCTATTGCCTACTTTCATATTAAAAGGGAGCCTTAAAATATGTAATCATTGTAAATAAAAGGAGAAATGTTCATAAAAAAGAGAAATGTAAAGCATATACCTGTACAAGATAATTTCAAATTTAATTAACAGATGACAATAAGCAATAAGCTTAATTAAGGTATTTATAGCAATCATTAGTTGTCATTCAGAATTATGCAGTTATCAATATGCAAATGGTATTATGCTATTGTCATGTCCCTGCATGTATATTCCATAACTTAAAACACACATTTTCATTAATTCTTCATAGCCCCAAATCCCAAAATTGCCTTTTATAAGCAAAGTGTATACATGTATAGTCAAAATTAAATAAAAGTGCCTTGGTGGCCCTAGATTACTCACTTGAAAACAATTATTGCAAAAAAAGCTATAATTTCTTTTATGCATATGTTAGACATTTGGGTCATATTTAAAATCATCAAAGCCATTCAAGTTTATAAATTTTAAAGATTGACCCTAAAAGTAGGTCACTTTGTCTCCCTTGTGTTCATCAAAGATCCAAGTTCAATACAATATAAAAAATTGCTCTTCAGGTTCAAATTTAAAGACCCTGGCTTCAAAATTCAAAAGTAAGTCAACAGGTTAAGCTCAATGTTTTCCAATGTGAAAAGTTATTTGGTATACACAACTCTATATCTGATTTTAATTTGAAAGTCGTTGATGGTGGAACATACTTAAATATAATAGTCAGAAATGTTTTGAGTATAAAAATCTAACAAAGATTTTGACACTTTTCTCAACAAATCCATCTAACAATATTACCCGGGGGAGGGGGGAGCAAACATATAAGCTCTGGGTAGTTTCTGTAACATGCACCGATAGAAACATGCTTTTTATGTATTGAACTCTGCTGCCCTCACTACATTTGCCTTTTTTATATTGGCATGTTTACATATTTTGCATAATTATTCCATAATTGCCAAGTGTTCATTTTAATAAGAAATATTTAAAGTATGAATGTCTTATAATTAAAAAAAGATCAATAAAAAAATCAAAAACCTATGATTGAGGAAACAGTAAGTACTGACTACACAAGGATATTGCCTTAAGTGTTACTGTAACATTGAACTAATGACTTTTAAATAAATAGGGGTCATCTACTGGCTGTACCAAGTTATAGTAAACCACCCTTCTCATGTTATTGATTAGACAAAAATAACAAAATGTACATACTACATTAAGGTAACTGATGCATGTACTGTCAGGGACCACCCCATTACAGTTGGTCCACACTGTTAGTGGGAGATAAAAATGAATTTATGTGTCATAATTTACTGTAGTGTGCAGTGTATATGCCAATTTACTATAAAAATTAACATGTTTATTTATACATGTGTATATGTCAGCATCTGTATATGATTTAGTGTGCAATTCTAACTGCAACTTTAAAAAACCTCAAAACATTAATACACCTGATGGCATTCTTTATTCCCTTTTTTTACCCTGAACATGAGTAACCGATACAGCTACAGTTTTAATGACTATCCTGAATACATTGTAAACATTAAGTCAATAGTCACCTGGTAAGTGAAAAGTAAATCCCTATATTTTCAAACTGTTTTTACAATATTCAAACTTTCATGACACTTTAGATACTAAGTAGTAAAATAGTCCGATATTTTCTTTATAGAATTTTTTATAAAACCATTCAGGCACAATGTAACATATGTAATACACTTTTTTTCAATACATGAATTTTACCTATACGTTTATACATATTTTTTTAAATCTCCTTTCATCAACCTTTTGCACTAAATTAAAAAAATAATCATCATTATAAATTGAATCTCCAAATCTCCTAATCTTTGACCTATGAACTTACATTGTATTTGACAGTTCAATGAAAAATTAAAGATAGAATTTAAACTCTAAACATTATCCAAATAACTCATTCCTTTGTTTGAGTATAAGAATATAATAAATTATTATATTATCTTGTAAGACAAGCTTTATACCTTAATTAAACACCTATATCCAATAAGATAACAGTTTCAGCTGATTTCTTTACACAATCATTAATGCATTTGAATATTGTTAAAGAATTGTGGTTTGTTGTAACTTATAATATTGTAAACATTAGTTGTAAACATTTTCCAAAGCGTTATAATTCTATTAAAATAATTTGCTTACATAAACACATAAAAACATCAGTTATATTATGAAGTGTACCTTTGAAAACTCTTTTGACAAAATTTGCTTATAAATATTATAAACATAAATAAAACAACAGTTACATTTATGAAATGTACCTATAACTCGCAATGTAAATCAATTAAGCGATTTACATTTTAATCCAAGACAAAACAACAGCTGTGCATCAATTGAATTTTATTTTAACACGGATTCAATATTGAAATACAAAAGTAACAGGCTTCAGTAGTTTTGTTTTTAAAAAGACTCTTATATTCCAAAATTGGTGGAAATTCAACCGTTATAGCTAGATGTATTAATAATACTGCAGATTTGTAATGGCGTGTTTCATTGAATAATCACGATTTTTATATAAGCAGTATACATGGCTACTAAACTGTCAATTTCTGAATTAAATTTATTTTTTCTCAAAAAAGGGAAGGTTATGTATTATAAATTTGTGATAAAAGTTCTTGACAGGTAATATAACTGTATATATAAGGTTGTTTTTAGTTATTAACTATTTAGCAGCTCTGATTAAACAACCATTTATAATAGGGCCAATTATAACCTAGCGCAATGTAAAATAAAAAAAATAAATAAAAATCTTTAAAACTATTATTGTGAATTTTGTGGACATGAAATTTCATGGTTTTGTCACAAAGAACAATTTTTGGGGTACATAAAATTCATGGACTGTTTATTTTTCCAAAAGGTTAGATGTAAATAATGTGAAGCAAAATAATCTTACAGCAGATGAAATGAAATTTTGCTGGATCTTAAATTTGTGGATTGACCTATCCACAAAAACCACAAAAATTAGTGCCCCACTTTGATAATGATCTTGCAGTAATATATTAACTTATTAAGTAAGGTCACATTAAAATTGGCAAGGTCAAATTTTAATTTCAAGCTTTACTGGTGAGAGAAGACCTTATCATAAACAAAGAAAAGTTACAGCTAAAAGACTGGTCAGAGTAAAACTAAATCTTGTGATCTAAACAAACTATACAAAATAATTGTTTGCAGGCAAATATTCAGAAGTTCTGGGATACGAGGACAGTAAACATTTTTGGGCAGAATTAGACAGTTTTTAAATTGTATACTTTGACAAATAACACAATTAAAAGTTTAAAATAAATTTATTATTGAGTTCATAATGTTGAAGCCAGTGCTTCAAAACAAACTTAAGAAAAAAAAGTAATTAATACAATAAAGTAAATTTTTTAATCACAAATTATTTTGTACATCTAATATATCTGTTAATCACAATAGTCTAATACTATATAACCTTTTTAACAATGAATATCTTTTTTTGTAAATAAAAAATGGGATACATTTAAATGTTAATATATATTCTTTCCCTATCATATTTAAAATCAGCAGCAAATTCATCAGCATTTTGAAACATTTGATTTTTTTTAAAAATCTTTATATATCACATTATTATAAAGAAATATAAAGACACAAATACAAAATACATATAAAACAATACAGAAATGCACATGAATTTTGGTCCATAAAAATATCAACAAATATCACAGTAAATATTTCACAGTCTACTTCTTTTTCTTTCCCTTTTTGCCTTTCTTTCCTTTCTTCCCCTTCTTCTTTTTGGCATAGGGGCCATAACCCTTCCGCACCATAACACCACGCCACCATGACTGGACCTGGAATATGTAAAGGTACACATTTAGCCTGTTTATTTTCTAGAATAGACTTATCTAACATAATAGTCCATTATTGATTCAAGGAATATCATATTGAAAACTTGAAACTTAATCATCAGACTCTACAGATATGTGGGCTGACTTGGATTGGTGACAAACAAAGGCCATGTATTTTTGGTTACATCATAAATATCAAATACTAAAATAGTTTATGTTATAATGTGTTTTTTTTATTAATTACAAGATAAGCAATAATTATAAAGATGAATTTCATTTATTTAATATATAAATTAATCATAAGACCAATGAAAGATGAATAATAAGTAACTAGACATTTCTAACACAGATCATTTGATTATCCATGAGTCGACAAAACTTTTTTAGCATAAGCAGGGCTTTAAGTTAGACACAAGAGCAGCATATGTGTAAGCCAGCGCCAAAGCAATCATAATAGACAGCCAAGCCGAAAATGAAAAAATTCAATACCTTCCTTACTTATATGACAACAAAGGCAATTCATTTCAAAAATGTGATTGTAAGAGAAAATACAAATATGGAGTGATAATGCAACTGCCAAAAATATTTTGCCTATGCCATCAGTTTCATATAGTCTGTCCAGAACATAAACTATAGGCTGCTTAGTACTTTGAGCTTTCTGATATCAAATTCCCTTCAAATAGCAACAGAAAATTCTGAAAGTCCATGTCATAAGTGAAGGGTTAACTTTGTGCTTAATGAGTAGCAATACCACAGAATGCACTAAATAAAATTAGAAAAATGAAAATTATTAAACAAGACATGACAAATGATAATTGGACAAACCTTGATAGAAGCCTTCAGCTCTATAGCCTCTTGTTCTTGCTTCCTTCTTGTCTTCTCTTTCTCTATTCTGTCCTCTACAACAACTTGTTCATATTCTCGGTACTAATAAAATAAAACAATAATAATTATTGTCACTAGCATTTTTGTTTTAATTAATTCTATTGAGCTCATGCATGAGGGAAACTGATGACTTGACAAATATACTTGTTTCAATAGTTCTGTTTCCAGTGCAAGGAAACAAATGAATATAAAACTTTGACAAGTTTGTTCAACATTTGGTTTGACTTTTTGTATATCTTCCTTAAATCAGTACCTGGAATCTTTATCAGTGTACGAAACCTTGAACCATTTCTTGCAATAATTAAATGTTATATCACAAGCATAGACGAAAGACAGCATGAATTCCACCCAGACTACCCAACTTTATATTGTTGGCTACTAAACTGTTTTTTGGTCACTAAATTCTGAAAAACAATCATTCTTTAGCTTCACACTATTCCCCTATCAAACAGATAGGGCAATCAAGTGCATTTTTACATTACAAATGCTTTGTAATTAATAATTCAGGCATATTGGCCTTTCAGATTTTTGTACACATTCCTACGCATTTGTACTCAAACTGTGCATTATTCTACAACAAATTCAATGCACTCAAAATTGATAAATATTTCCTAAATAAATTGCTCCCAATTCAGGAAAAATAAATTTCAAAGTCTAGATATTTCAAATGAACCAATCAGATGGCAATGTCAGTGAAAAGTGTGACTGTTCTTCAATTTCAAGCTTTAAATCAGTGAGAGCTAGATATAAATATTACATACCAGTTTAGTTAATTCTTGAAGTTTTTCTAGATCTTTGGCCTTAGAAGCTTTCAAGACATCAAGTTCATGCTGCTTGGCTTCCACATCCTTCTCATATTTCTCCATCCAGAAATCTACTTTTCTTTCTAACTCCTGCATAATAAAAGGATATATGAAATTACTTTTGTTCACTCACATTATATATTAGTTATTACTTTAAATTCTATTGTCGCAAAATTTTAATTTGTAATTGATTTTTTGATTTGTATACATTGTATTATGTATTTAAAACTGAAACCTGGAAATAAGCCCCTCCTATATAAGTAACAAAGTTAAAAAAATCTTCATTAGATTTTGAATAAGCAATTAGCTTTCTTTTCAAAATTGTAAGGATGAATTAAACACAGGCGTTCAGCAAATAATAACTATCCAGCACCTGTTTACTGAATAAAATATATATTTTATATATTAAACTGTATTGTCATGGAGTACAAATAAGTTATGTATTGATCTAAACAGTTTAATCCAACACATTTAGATGTATCACTCTCAAACCAAATCTAGATACTCACTGTTTGATGTGTTCTCAAGAATGATTCAATTTCTGCGTTACATCTGATCTCTTCATCTATACCATGTCGTAATTTCTTTAAAAAATAATAAACATAGCAATGCAGTTTGTTAGATTGCATAAAACATTAAAGCAGAGATAAGTTTCTGTTTTATTTTTGTGCCAGTTTATGAAAGGGTATAAAGCTATATGTTATAAAATATTTTTGTAAAATTTATCAACAGTAAAATTTTATTGGTTTCATAATCTTATGGTCAATTCTTTGTTTTGTTTGGTTGGGTTTAATGTCACACCAACACAGTATAAAACATATGGCGACGTCCCAGCTTTACTGGTGGAGGAAGACCTCAAGTGATAGTCAATTCTAGAAATAGTTGAAACATAGGATGTCCTTGTTATTTATTACATGTAAATATTGTACTTTAACAAAATAACATAACATTCTGTTATTTTATGAAGGTTTTATCATACAGGCATTTTGGAAGCATTCTTTTTTAAAATTCTGCAGTAGATATACAGTATAGCTTTATACACTATTTAGTAAATTCAGTGAAATATTGGTAGGTAGTTACATACAGTATCAAGTGTTGTTGGATTCTATACTTTATCTGCTTTACTGTAAATTATAGCTTACATTATCACCATAATTATGTTTTAAATCAGCTATACTTGAGAATGATGTTTGGCAAGTATATTTTTGCAACATGATCATATGCCAACTTCAAACACCAAAAATTGAAGATGTTTGTTTGCTTGTTTCATTTTACGCCTTTTCCCAACAGTATTTCAGTCATATAGGCGGGTAGTTTCCAAACCATCGTTCCTGGAGAGTTACACCAGTACTAGACTACCTTCCTCCGTGCTAAACTACCAAAGCAACTCAAACCCACGTCAGAGAGGTAACTGGATTAGAAGTCATCGACTCTAACCCCTCGACCACAGAGGCGGTTAAGGATGTAGATCCAGTCACCATTCAATGAGCTAATAATACATGTCACAATAAGTAAAAGTACAATTGGATAATAAAGCAGGTAATGTGATACGCAGGTTCAATACCTCTATTTCATCTTTCATATCCTTCTCGGAGATTGAACACTTTTTCTGTGTCTGTGCAACACCAACTTCCGCACATTTCTTAATGTATTTACCTTCCATGTTTGTTTTGGCCTTCATTTCTTGAAGTTGATCCTGTAAATAACAAGATATTAGATAAGTTTTGAGTTGCATTATAAACAATAAAATTTAGGTCTACATGTATATAGCAATCCCTATTCTATTGGACAGAATAAACAAAATAAATAAATGTGTCAGTATGTATTTAAAAATTTTAATTATAGATCCTGTAGCTCAATTTTTTTTATGGTTTTACATCCTAAATATAATGCTCAAATGAAGATTTATTCCAAAAAATGATTTTTTTTAAAGATATTTCCGAATTTACATTTCGTGTAAATAAAGGGAGGTAATTATAATTAGTAATTCAATTTGATAAATTCTCAGCAAAAGTTTTCAGTAAAAAATGAATGCATATATTTTAATTATTACATGTACATAAAATGCGCATAAACATTTGCAGAACATATTTAACATATTTATACATATATAAAATTTCACAATAGTGTTGTTATATCCTTAATTACAGCATACAGTATCTTTAAAGCCTCTATAGTCTTCAAGAAAACAGTTTATCAGATCAGACTTTTATCTAAAATATTGCCAGGAAACAAGTTTAAAAACTAGAAGAATGCTAAATATCCAGTTCCTGTTGAAGTTTCGATGAATAGGTACTGTTGTCTTCCAAAAGAAGCATTTTAGCAATGAAAACAAAGTTGAAATTCAAGACAGTGTTGTGTCTTCTTTTAGCCATAATATATTGTTTGTTTTGGTTTTATGGTTCACCAACACAGTATAGGTCATATGGTGCTGAAACAGGAATGATGATTTTGGCTAACCTCAGGGGTAAAAAATTCAAAGCAACACCAGGGATCAAAACCATCTAACGTGCTGGAGCTAAGAGATGCATAGACTCCAGTTATTCAAACCCATTTAGTCTCCTCTTACAATTAAGAAGGGATACACTTCAATTCTAAAACCTTAACCATTAATGGCAACCCCGCAGTCAAAACGGGCAGCCATAATGTAATCAAGCAGCACATAATGCATGAGAACAATGTTGAATGTGTATTTTGTATGGTACACACGTAAATCAATATGAAGAATCAGAGAAATTTTTACCTTTAAATGAGCGATCATTTCATTTCTTTCCTGTATTTCTTTTTCTTTCTCCTTTTTAATATCTCCAAGCTGCTTTTGTAGAAGTTTTACCCTCTTACGACCATTCTCTTCCCTGGTGGACATAAAGTTATTTACCATTTAACTACTTAATTTGTATCATGTATTTGTCTTGAATTGAATTTGCAGTTGTTTAAAAGGAGGTTCAAAATAATTTGAACAAACTTTGTAGAGGCCATTCAGCTTGAGCTATATCTAAACAAATGACTTCATCAGTTCAATTATGACCATGTGGAAGAAGTCTAAATTACAATGCCCACATACCTAATGTCTTAGCTCTAGGATTTCACGTTTTCATACAAGATTTTCATAGTTTTTCCATTGCAACAAAGTTCTTCATAGTATGGATAAAATCATAAAAGTATGCATGATACATTCCTGTAAAATTTCATGAACACTTCCCCAGTCAAATAAGAGATCCTGATTAAAGGGAAATTTAAGCTGATATAATGGGTACACCATTTGACAAAACTGTAGATGTATTATTTTTAAACAACAATTTTATAGATTCTTATTTCTGAACTGTAAAGCTTAGATGTTAAGGATAATGAACAGAAAATGTTAAACTTACTTGAGGATAGTTTCTAGAAGTTGTGCCTTCCTCTCTTTCTGTGTGTTTACTGCCTCTCTTAGCACTTGAAATGTACAGTTCTGTATAAGCTCTGACAAAGTCTCGGCCATTACACCTTCCACAAACAATCTGTATAAAGAAACCACTTGCAAATTATGTTCTTACACATATCCAGTGATTTACTACATCAAATAATCTATAGGTGCGTACAAGACAGTGTATATCCAAAATACCAACTTCTATAGTACATTTCTATTCAAAGTATAAGTATTAGTGAAGTTAATAAAAAAAAAGTATAAGTATTAGTGAAGTTAATAAAAAAATTCATGTAAATTCTCAACACTCATCTATACATTTCTCTTGAAATGAATGGCAAAAGATGAATGATCTAATTATATCATCAAAATGTAAAGAAAAACATATGCCAAATTCAGTGATCGAAAGTCACATTAGTGATAAAAGGTTCCATAAAAGGTAAAATGTCAGTCTGAAAATGAAAGTGCTTTGTAAAACTTGTTTTGTACCTATCATCCTGTATTTTAACAGTGTTATCTCCTGTGAGGGGATTTTGTCGGACACTGCGAGTAAACACATGTGTACTATTCTTCAAATCTCCACCAGTCTCCAAAACCTCTTTCTCCATTTCTGTTAATTTTTCAGCATTTCTTGTTGAATGTTTAAGATCGAGTTTCTTGGCAAGTATTGACTGATATCTTGACTCCAAGTCGCGCTGACTGTCAAATAATTCTGTCATCTGTGAGTGCACCATCTATATAGAAAATTTATATCACTACAATTATTTTACAAATAAATACAAAACAATTGTAATGTATGACTGATTTATACATTTAGCAAACACTTCAAAAACATTGATATTGTAGACATCATTCAAATAACATCAGTCATGTTGCTTTCTGACAGTTTCTTATCCAACAAAATTATATACAATTTTAACAAGAAATTGTGCGCCAGGGCTTTTTATTATATAAACAATGGTCGCCAACAGCTATGTAATGTCAATTTTGTAAAATTGGTCTGTCTTACAGTCAAAATATTGACTCTTAACTAAAGGAAACCCTTAACTGTCCCGTCAATAGAAATGCCATTGAGCAAATAAATCATTTTGACATTATATATACATTTTTAATATTTTTGTTGGGTTTTAGTCACAATTACATCATAAGTTAAATGGTGAATTTCCAGTTTAACTGGTGGAAGAAGACCTTGGGTGCTCCTCTAAATGAATCATTCCATGGTATCCGACATCAAACTCTGGTTAGCTTGTTTGCTTCCTCCCAAAAATGATCTGATAAAGCCCCTTTAATTTTCTTTAAAATAAAGTACTTGTTAACTTACACTATAAGCATCTGGTCTACCATCATAAGAAGATGGCATAATTTTACCAAGAACTGAAAGCTGGTCCACACAATCCTCAAGAACTGTGGCAATATGAATTGCATCAGACCCTGCTAACAACTGGTCCGACGCCATTGTCTAAAATAAAAACATATAAGTAACATATAAACATATATAACTAGCATATAAACAAATGATGGCAACATTATGATTATACTTATTGCTTGATGGTAAAATAAGGGCCATGCAAGAATTCCTTAGTCTACAAAGGAAATTAATTCAATCTGTGCAAGAGTCATGAACCTTGGTCTGTTTAATTACATTTATGCCCATAAAGAATTATGTGAGTGGTTGAGTTGACAGACTTTCAAAACAAAACATTGGAATAGTCAGAAGTCCATAATAAAATGAAACCATACAAGTTAAGGTATTTTTTGGATGCATTTTCCAAAGTTGTAAACAAATAACAAATCTTTAGTCTGATCAGCAGTGTTTAGCAGTAGGGGTGTAACAATATGGCAAAAACCGTATTGCAATATATTGCCATTTTGCTGAAGCGTATTGCAATATATTGCAATACGTATTGTCGTGTTTACAAATGTTTTGATGTAAAGATGGAGTAACATTATATATTATTATTATATGTATATATTTTTAGTAGAAAATAAAATGTAAGAAATAAATAGAAAGTAAAAGTGTCACACAATTTGATAAACAAAACTAGTCGCGGGTGACCTTTCACATCTGGGTCGCTTATTGACTTTTAAGTGTACTAGTTGTTGGATTCTTTTATCTTACGTTGGCGCCAATAAAATTCGCCAATGAAAGATTTTATGTAAAATTTGTACAAAATTAGAAGGCAATTAATTGAAAATTATGATTTTTATAAAATACCGGTTCTCCACAAATCGTACCATGGTACGAATTTTTTTTATTCATATTGCAATATATCGGTAAACCGGTAAACCGTTACACCCTTATTTAGCAGTATACAAAGATAAATAATGTATTGGTTCAAGCCCTTGCTAATTTCTCCGTTGCATTTTTTTAGTGAAACTCAAATGAAGAAAAAGAAAACCAAATCAATTTTAAGGAAATACATATATTGGAACATCAATGTTGACAAGATTTTGATTCACACATTACTCAAGATTATCTTAGTTTTCTCTTATTGCTAATGGTATTTTTATAGAATTATTTACAAAGCAAAACATTACAAAATGACCGTTTTTAATTTTTGACTTTGGGTAAAAGCCAGCTGGAAGAGCTGGCCAGAAGGGCCTGTTCGCAAAGAGAGATTTACGGTAACGCGTTGCGAGTATCTGCTAGATATTAATGAAAACTTTCGTCTGAAGTACCGAATTGACACATCGCAACTTTCCGAATTACAAGATAACGATAAAAGCTTAAGTATTCTGATTGAACACAGAAGCGTAAACTGGTGTCCTGCGCACTTATATTCTGAGCATGGACAAAAAATTTCTAAGGATGATCAATCTAGCTTCAGCATGTCAAAATACAATTGACATGATATTGAACGATTCACTAATTAGGGGACATTTAGTGTGCAAGCGGTCGCGGTAGAGTCCCGGTACTATATTTTGAAGGTCCCAATCAGGATGCACATATGGTAATGTAACGATTCGCCACACTAACGATTCGCCACATAACGATTCGACACAGAGTAATAACGATTCGCCACAGTTAAATAACGATTCGCCACGTGTTCAAATACAAACTTTTTCACACCTGTTTTCAAATTGTTGATGGAATTTTTTTTTAACATAACATAACATATTGTAGTAACTCTACTAATTTATACACATTTATATAACTAACATATTTTATTACAAAATTTACATAAATACATGTAAGCTTAATTGCCGCATTATATTGAAATCTGCTCACATTGTCAGATAATTAAAGGATTATTTCGGCGTCAATTAAATATTTCTACAACAAGCTTAAGATGATTGGCTTATTAAAATTAAAGGTGTGACAAATGTTTTAGATATGCGTTCTTTAATCAATTATCGTAAATCAATTTTCGTAATGATCACTATCATGTTTTTGCAGAGACATAGATAACATTGTTATCTATGTCTCTGGTTTTTGCAATATTTTCTTTTTATGAAATATATATTTATATATATAAATATTAATTGAAATTTATGTTTATGATTAATTCAATATTTATTTCAACATATAATTACTTTCTTGTAAATGTACTTCTGTAATAATGTTACTTTGATAAATTGAAAATCCGCGATGGGGACTTTAAGTTCATGTTACTTGTATTAAGAAACATTATCAAATTATTGTCGTTGTCAAATTATTAAAACAAAAGGAAAAACTTTGTTGATAACTTAATAAAAAATCATTGTTAGATCTATAATCATACTGTGGCGAATCATTATTTAACTGTGGCGAATCGTTATTACTCTGTGGCGAATCGTTATGTGGCGAATCGTTAGTGTGGCGAATCGTTACTAATTCGCACATATTTCTCACCCTGTGACTAATTTGGCTGGATGCTTAGAGTTAGATGTTACTGTAGGCATGTTATTTGAATCCGGTCAGCTCGGCCCTAAAACGTACTCGGCCCCCGAGTTGACTCTTTTCCTGTTATTTTGCTTACGAGTTTCAAAATATAATCGCAACTGTGTAACTTGAGTAAGAATTCGACGTTCTGCCAAAAATCTTTAAACAAACTTTTTATTAAATATTGATCTAATATTTACCCTGTTTTCCTTTTTCTAGTCAGGACATAGACTAAATATAAGAAATGCAATTGAAGCTGTTGATTCGTCACTAGGAAAGCGATCTTTGTCGTTAGACGTTTGAGGCGGACTTGATTGACAGAACCTGTTCTATCTCTAAAATAAAACACATAACACATAATTAATTGTTGGATTCTTCTAGAGTTATAAAAATTTCAATTTAATGATTCAAATAACAATTTCTTGTGAAAATAATTCAAAATAAAGCAAATTTTGGGAAATGAAAAGGAAACTCGATTAATCAAAGGGTAATATTGCTTAAAATGAATCAATATAGTCTCAGCACTTCCTTTTCCGGTTATATACTTTCTAAGTATGTTGTTAAATTTGTTTTCGCCTTTATATCCGATAAATCCATTCTATTTATCAACGGATCTTACCTGAAACCGACAATAATGAAAAGCTAAACTATGTTCCTGCATCACTTGTTGTTATTTTTAGTGCAACAGTTGTCATCCTGTGAAAATCATTCGTTTTAACTCGATACCCTAGATAGTTTGTTAGAGTTACTGGTTTGGTCATTCACTGGTGTTTGTCCTTTTTATAATACCAAACACTTTTTAAGAGAACTTTCCATCTTACATTTAGTCCTACACTCCTGGTGGACACGTAGTGAAGGTGCTAGAAATCTGCTTGATAAATATATATATTTTTTGTCAATAATGAGCAGACACTGGACTGTCACTGTCAAACGCTGATCGTTTTTGCTCGTCATTTTTTAGTAACTTTTAACATGAGTGGGACAGGCCTCTTACAGTCTTACATTTGGTTCACTTTCTGCTGGAATTAAAGCCCCAAGTAGAGATTGGAGACTCTAAAATTTAAATATGAAATGTGTATCTTCGGTATCTAATGTAGTAATTAAACCCAATCTAAACCTTGATTATTGATGTATCAATGATATATGAGAAGAGCTCAGATATTCTACATTGCAATTAGTGAGCTTGAACCTAGTCCTTTTACATAAGACGTTTCCGTTAGTACTACGTACTCCAACGTCTTATCGACTTCTTCATAAGTTCCTTTAGCTAAACGCGCAGCGATTTTGAAGCGCTATAATATTAACTATCATAATTTACTACAAAAACAATATTTTGAGTCAAAAGATATGCAGACTGTAAATTGAAACATTTTTGCATCAATGTGCAGCAAAAAAATAAATGACTCTCCTTTGAATGTAAATAAATCCAATCCAATACATATTATACCACTTTCACCGCTATATACATTCGGCCATATTACCTGCATGCATGTGAGCGCATTTTGCTAAAGGAACTTATGAAGAAGTCGATAAGACGTTGGAGTACGTAGTACTAACGGAAACGTCTTATGTTATAGGACTAAGCTTGAACCCAGACTGTGTATAGCAAAGAAAGATGACAATCTAAAGCCAGGATCTTTTCTCAATCTGGTATTGGTTTGAAGTCAATCTGCAAATTTTACTTTATAAAGACTTGCTAGTGAATTGGATTCTTTTTATTTGCCTGGACAATGTTTTTAAACAAGTATTATGATTAGGGTGGATGCCCAATTTGTATTTAAACTTAAAATGTTAAAAGTTTTTGTTGACAGTATATATGATATTTTTATTAAATATAATCACTGCTCTGATTTCTTTAATCTTGCAGTGTTTTATGTTTCACAAAGCAGTATTGTGTTCCATACTAAAAATTGAATTTTCATTTCAGGTGAAGCCACACAATGGCTGAAACAAAGGCACCAGAAGCAAATCCCCCAAAGAAGTCGGGCAGGTTTGTATTTATTGTCATTTGCACAGCTAATTGTAAAAAGGTTTCAGAAAATTTTAATAGTTAACACTGTTACAAAAAGTGGGTTGATTTGCTCCTCTTATTGATGATAGTAAATTCAACCAGAAAGGTGAAATTTCTTTCTTTAAGGTATCTTATTTAACTGCCATACAAAGTCAGTTGTTCCATTCAGATTTCTTATTTATAAAGAAAGTTTGTGGAGTAGCCTGGAAGACTAAGTTATCAACTCTGTAAGTGAAAAGTTGTCTTAGCTTTTTTACTGGAAAACATATAACAGAAATTGAATTAATGATTAAGTTTTGTATCATCTATGCTTTATTTCAGATTGTACTGCAAAGCTGTATTCACAGGATACAAAAGGGGGTTGCGTAATCAGTATGAACATACAGCTCTTCTAAGAATTGATGGTGTAAACAAGAAAGCTGAAACTGAATTCTACCTTGGCAAAAGATGTGCATACGTTTTCAAGGCAAAAAAGTAGGCAGTTGTCCATTAATAAAATCTGATATAAAGCTAGAGCTGTCATTGATTCAGTGCAAAGCATATCAACGATATATCGATATCAAGTAACAAAAATCAACGATATATCGATAATATCCTATACTCACTTGTCTGTCATTCACTTTCATACCTGTTTCAATGATTTCAGTCAAAAACATGTTCTGTACAGTGTCTTGTCCACTGCATGATTTTTTCCAGACAATATTTTTTGTCACCATTGCTATGAAATAATTCCACTATATAACAAAAGCATAAAATTAGATATAAATAATTGTTTCTGCATATATTTTAGGTGAATTGTATAATTTCTAGACATTTAATTTATAAGTCAAAAGTATCGATTTTTTAAAATGTGTATCGATTATTGATCGACAAAAAAATATCAACGATACATCGATATTGTCGATATCGATGACAGCTCTATATAAAGCAAATACATACAGAAACTGAAAGTTTAAAGCTCAAATTATTTAGCTTGAGCAATCAAAGATCGATTGTATGAGGGAGAGCTATTGCACTCGTCTTGGTGTCACAGTTTAGTTAAGTTTTTGTGTGCAAGATGGTATTTCAAAATTTGAAACATTTCACACTTATTAAAGAGCATAATAGGAGATCACTATCCAAGGTTCATTACACTAACATTGATATTGACAGAATTATGGCTCTTAGAAGTTTTGAAATGTAACATTATTATCCAGGCTCTTGTTTTACTATTAAGCACTGAGAATGGTAAAGCATGCTGTCCTATTGACAGCTCTTATCTAGTGATAGTGATGTACTTTTTTAGCCGCATGTAACTGATATTTGAGTGTTTAAAGATCATAAGCTATATCTAATGAAATATTTTCACAAAATTTACATCGGTACAATTATACTGTTTCCATATACTGAAGTTATATTCTTAAGAGTTGTAACATAGAATGGCTTCTATTTAACACACATAAAATATGTAAACAGAATAAAATGTACTTTTATATAAAGATTTTTAACTATTCTATTCATCTATGATATTGTGCATGCGCAGTGTCATTTGCTCAAAAAGAAATTTACAAACATATTTCTTGCAAAAGGTGTTTTGGACTCGTTCTTTTCAAAATTCAACTAAAATTTTTGTAACTCTGGGTGAAAGATATAGCTATAAAATTAACTGAATTATTATCATTTATCATGTTGTTTGATATTGAACAATATTGTTTGTATGCATATGTCATATTAAATAATTTTGTTATTCAGTAAGACAGCATGTCCAGGTCACAAGGAAGCTAGCAGACTACGTGTAATCTGGGGTAAGATCACCAGATCACATGGTAGCAGTGGTGCTGTTAGAGCAAAGTTCAAGAAAAATCTACCAGGTTCAGCTATGGGCAAAAGAATTCGAGTTGTAAGTTATTTAAGTGTGGTTGTTTTTGTAACTGTAATTTTTAGCTCGACTATTCGATAAGAATAAGTAGAGCTATTGCAGTCACCCGAGCGTCGGCGTCGGCGTAACCACTTATTAGCTCGACTATTCGATAAGAATAAGTAGAGCTATTGCAGTCACCCGAGCGTCGGCGTCACCACTTATGTTAAAGTTTTTGTAATAGTTCAAATATTTTCAAAGTCCATAGACATATGGCTTTGAAACTTTGCACACTTGTTCACCATCATGACCCCAACCTGTAGACAGGAGGAGGTAACTCTATCAAGCATTTTGACAGAATTATGCCCCTTTTTCGACTTAGAATTTACGTTAAAGTTTTTGTAATAGTTCAAATATTTTCAAAGTCCATTGACATATGGCTTTGAAACTTTGCACACTTGTTCACCATCATGACCCCAACCTGTAGACAAGAGGAGGTAACTCTATCAAGCATTTTGACAGAATTATGCCCCTTTTTCAACTTAGAATTTACGTTAAAGTTTTTGTAATAGTTCAAATATTTTCAAAGTCCATTGACATATGGCTTTGAAACATTGCACACTTGTTCACCATCATGACCCCAACCTGTAGACAAGAGGAGGTAACTCTATCAAGCATTTTGACAGAATTATGCCCCTTTTTCGACTTAGAATTTACGTTAAAGTTTTTGTAATAGTTCAAATATTTTCAAAGTCCATTGACATATGGCTTTGAAACCTTGCACAGTTGTTCAACATCATGACCCCAACCTGTAAACAGGAGGAGGTAACTGTATCAAACATTTTGACAGAATTATGCCCCTTTTTCGACTTAGAATTTACGTTAAAGTTTTTGTAATAGTTCAAATATTTTCAAAGTCCATTGATATATGGCTTTGAAACTTTGCACACTTGTTCACCATCATGACCCCAACCTGTAAACAGGAGGAGGTAACTGTATCAAGCATTTTTTTTACTATCAAGCACTAAGAATAGTCGAGCGTTGCTGTCCTACCGACAGCTCTTGTGTTAAAGTTTTTGTAATACCTCAAGTATTTTCAAAGTCCATTGACATATGACTTTGAAACTTTGCACACTTGTTCACCATCATGACCCAAACCTGTAGACAGGAGGAGGTAACTCTATCGAGCATTTTGACAGAATTATGCCCCTTTTTCGACTTAGAATTTATGTATTTAAACAGTTTTGTAATACCTCAAATATTTTCAAGTCCATTGACATATGGCTTTGAAAGTTTGCAATGTACTTGTTGACCATCATGACCTCAACCTGTAAACAGGAGGAGGTAACTCTATCAAGCATTTTGACAGAATTATGCCCCTTTTTCGACATAGAATTTACGTTAAAGTTTTTGTAATATCTCAAATATTTTCAAAGTTCATTGACATAAGGCTTTGAAACATGTTGAAATTTTATACTCTTCTTTGAGAGCATAATAGGACTCTCTCCAAGGCCTATAACTGTAATATGGATTTAAAGAGAAAAAAATTGCCTTTTTCTTTACTGAGAAAATTTTACCTTTTAATCAAGGCTTTTTTTACTATCAAGCACTAAGAATAGTCGAGCGTTGCTGTCCTACCGACAGCTCTTGTTACACACCTAAAGACATGTCATCATGAAGTCTTATGGTATGAAATAGTCTGGTTTTATAATGATTGTGCCTTTGTCAGATTTGATTTTCTCTGTAAAACAACTCATTATTGATTGAGTTTGGCCCCTTTTTTTGCAACAGAAAGGTTATTGAATTGTTGTTAGCTTCAGTATATGCAGGATCACTCTTCAAAAATTTAAATACTTTTGTTAACATTTGATATGTCAGAGTGTTTTAAATATCAGAACACAAGTTACATGTAATTTTCTCCACTATCAACACATTTATGAGATTTATGCCCCTTTTTGTGAAATTACATGCATTTGCTTTTTGAAAGATATGTATGGGTCACATATAACTGTGTGTGTAATGTTCAGATTAATGAAGTATTTCATTTTAACTCGGTTTTATGGCCTGGCAAGGCAGATTTGAATTTATCATTAACAAGTAAATTTTTAACATAAGCTTTTTGTTGATACATATGACATAGAGTTAGTTCAATTTGTGAATAACTGAATTAGAAAAAATATGTATATTTTCCTTAATATTCAATGAGAAATCCGTGTCATTTACTGTAATGACTTGATACCTTTAAGTCATTGGTCATTTATTGATGTGCATCAGCAAAGCTCATGTTGAATTTATATCAGAATTTTTTAACAAACCATGAGCAGTTCAAAGGAAAAGCAGTGATTTTTCACATTGTGAAATAGGGGCCTATAAAATGTCTTTTCCAAATCAAAATTTTCTTAAAAGTCTTGCAGTTTTCCCCCAAAACCCCTAAAGAGTTCATTGAACATGTGTTTTCAATATGCACAGATGCTTTTATCATTACATGCATTTCAGAAAGTTTTCTAAGACTGAAAGAATGTGATTAATTGGAGATTATTATTAAAGATCCACCATTTATGATCGATTAATCACTAACATGTGGATTTGATTATTTACAATTCGAGGTCCTACTAAATGACTACATGTCAATCTACTGTATTTTTGAAAGTAAGGTATTATTTTGAAGACTGGAGAAAAAATCTGGACTTAATTGTTTTGCTGTAATGTAATGTTATAATTGCTGTAATGTTATGTTACAATGTAACATAGAGAAAGTGTGATATTTTAAAAGCATGTATATATCTATTTGTAAGTGATTCATTCAGAAGAAATTAATGAATATGATATAATCTTGAATTCAATATTTTCTGTTATTTCTGATGCTATTTAATTATCAGAAATAATTCATTTTCTTTACATAATTTGTGACATATCCTACAGATTAAGTTTAGTAATATATTGAAAAAAATTGGATTTATCTAACAATGATTTCTCATTTATTTTCAGATGCTGTACCCATCAAGGATCTAGATTGTAAATGCTGTGTAAAAAGAAAAAAATACAAAAATACCGAAAAAAAAAACAAGTTTTTGTTTTCATTATCTTTGTTAAGGTTTGTGTCTGTCATTTTCATGACTTGTAGAGAGTACAGTGTTCGAAATTAGCAGTAGTCCTATAGCCCCTGACTACTAAATTTCTCCTCGGGCTACCAACTTTTCACTGCAACAAGCCCGACCAGGCTACTGTATTTTCAGAGGCAATATAAACAAATGTTTTTAACAAATGATTCTCGTGCTAGCGAAATTTCTTTTGGGCTAGTGAATATTCCATTCTGGTAGTCCGACAAGCCTAGTGGATTCAAATCCTAATTTCTAACACTGAGAGTATATGGGCAATATCAACTGAATTGTTGACCACTTGCCTATCACTGCTGTAGGTTCAAAACGTGCCAGTGTCTTCGAATTCTTTAATGTCAAAAACCTTATAAGCTAGCTTATTGAAGTTGTTACGTTGGTGGTTCTATTCATGTGCCTGAAATAATGCACAAAAGGGCCAATTAGGTCTTCCTCCACCAGTAAAGCTGGAAAGGCACCATATGACCTGTTACGTTGGTGCAACTTAAAACCAAAATAGACACCAGTATATTGAAGAGCCAGTTTGCCAATTTGCATAAAACTAAACATTGGATAAATCCATTGCCTTAAAAGAACATATTTAATACTTGAAGTGACTTGAATTCACAAAACTTGAATAGCTGTTGAAACGTTTAATAAAAACTTTTTCTTGCATATCAGACTGGCGTTTCCGTTAGTTTTACCCATGCTGGAAATTTCATCTGGCATGGGGGGTTCCAGATGAGTCGCGTGCTGTACAATGGCACGATAAAGATGACGTCATTTTACCGTTATGAATGATTTTGTAATTCATACGCTGTTGAATGAAAGTAGTTATGGTTGTAATGATATAAATTTTCATTGAAAATAAAGATAAAGAATTTAAAATATAATGGAATATGGTAGAATATGCAAGAAAAAATATCTGACATATGTTTGCGGTTCGGATCGGAATATCCGTCCCTCGGTCACCCGCCCATGGGCGGTAACGAGGCTTGCGGGTCACCTCGGGACGATTATTCCGATCCGAACCGCAAAATATGACAGATATTATTAATCTCCACTGCAGGATTGCTTGTATGATAAAAGTACTGTATATTTAACACTGCAGGCTTTCTCCACAAGTCTTGATGTGGAGAACTGGTAGTGGTAAGGGCATGAGGTATATAGATTGCTGAACATTTGTTTTAAGACCACATTTTCTTAACACAACTGACAATTGTGATTAAAGATTACTTGTCCAAAGGTACTGTTGGTTACCCTCATTATTTCATAGGAGGAAAGCTATTTAGCTAGCTTACAGAAGGTCAGTGGTTCAACTTGGATGACGACTTGTGCCTATAATATTGCTTGAAGTCTTCTTACAGCAGTAAAGATGGAGAAGCGCTTTATGACCAGAGTTCACAGTGTTGGTGTAACCAGAAAATTAACAACAAAGATTGAATTGAGTAGAAGACGCCTTGTTTATTTAAATTAGGCTGCAATGTTTAACTTCAAAAAGAAATCAGATTTAGTTGGATACAAGAAATGTTCTACTGGTACCAATGGCTTTATATGATACACAATTACTCACTAATATCAGGCCAATTTGGGAAATCACATAACATAGGTTTCTACGTGTATTTTCTACAGTAAGCTCCCTTTCATCTTTATGCTACTCGTACTTAACATATGTATTTACTTATTTCCCCCAGTTATTTCCCTTTATACATTTAAGAAATTAGTACAAGGTTTAATCTATTTGCATGGAAAGCTGCTTTATAACTATATACACCCCTATTATGGAAATAACTTCAACAGTCATTTTGTATATTTATTTTCCCTTTATGCACTTTCAAAAAAGGTTTGATAAGTTGATACAGGTCAGTTGCAGGTACTGGTACTGATGGGCTCCATATGAACTCCAGTGACATTATAGGATGAATATCCATGCTCAATCCATGCACACTTTACTTGTGGGGAAAAAGGTATGGGGTTCAAAGATTAAAATAATAACCCTGTAACATCAACTATGTCCGTCTGTCACACTTTGTGCCCAGTCCATAACTTGTCTTTTCATCAAGGGATTTTGAAACAATTATGAAATTATTTGGCACAAATGTTCACAATAATAAGACGCTGTGTAATGCACAGCAACTGGACCCCCCTCAATATATTTATATACATGTAAATTAATATCATAGCCAATTAAACCATTAATTTATTTGACCCTTAAGGTTCAGGTCATTAATGGGTGAAGGTCATAATTAATTTAGTCTAAAGGATTGTTGTGTCCGAGTTTGAAGACGGCACATTCAAAAATAACAAAGTTGTAAAAATCTATCTGACCTTGAAGGTTAAGGTCATTTATCAGTCAAGATCAAGTTCAGTGTCGTCTGCTTGAAGGTCTTGTCCAAAGTTTTGATGTGTCCAAGTATGATGACAATCCATTAACAAGAGGGCCATGATGGCCCTGAGGTCGCTCACCTGTATATAGGCCCCCCACCCCCGGGCCAATTTTTACCCAAGGGCTTTTATTTGTTTATTTGAACAGACTTGGTAGACACCCATAAGAAGATGTTTCATGCTAAACATCTAAGTTCTAGCTCATTGGCTTTTTTAAAAGAAGATTTTTAAAGTTTTACTATACACATATAGTTAAAAACAATGACACCCCTGGGGCAGGGCCAGTTTTGACCCCCAGGCGTTTATTTTAACTAACTTTGTAGATATTTACTTAAAGATGTTTCATGCTTAATATCTAAACTCTAGCTATTTGGGTTTTTCCAAAGAAGATTTTTAAGTTTTTGCTATACACATATAAGAAAAATCAATGACCCCCCCCCCCCGGGCGGGGCCAGTTTTGACCCCAGGGCTTTTATTTGAACATACTTGGTAGACACCCATTAGAACATGTTTCATGCTAAATATCTTAGCTCTAGCTCTTTGAGTTCTTTAAAAGAAGATTTTTTAAGTTTTTACTATATGCATATAGGGAAAATCAATGACCCCCTGGGGCGGGGCCAATTTTGACCCCAGGGCTTTTATTTGAACAAACTTGGTAGACACTCATTAGAAGATGTTTCATGCTAAATATCTTAGCTCTAGCTCTTTGGTTTCTTTAAAAGAAGATTTTTTAAGTTTTTACTATATGCATATAGGGAAAATCTATGACCCCCTGGGGCGGGGTCAATTTTGACCCCAGGGCTTTTATTTGAACAAACTTGGTAGACATTCACTAGAAGATGTTTCATGCCAAATATCTAAGCTCTAGCTCTTATGGTTCTTTAAAAGAAGATTTTTTAAGTTTTTACTATAGGCATATAGGGAAAATCAATGACCCCCAGGGCGGGGCCAATTTTGACCCCAGGGCTTTAATTTGAACAAACTTGCTAGACACTCACTAGAAGATGTTTCATGCTTAATATCTTAGCTCTAGCTCTTTGTGTTCTTTAAAAGAAGATTTTTAAGTTTTTACTATATGCATATAGGGAAAATCAATGACCCCCTGGGGCGGGGCCAATTTTGACCCCAGGGCTTTTATTTGAACAAACTTGGTAGACATTCACTAGAAGATGTTTCATGCCAAATATCTAAGCTCTAGCTCTTACAGTTCTTTAAAAGAAGATTTTTTAAGTTTTTACTATATGCATATAGGGAAAATCAATGACCCCCCCGGGCGGGGCCAATTTTGACCCCAGGGCTTTTATTTGAACAAACTTGGTAGACACTCACTAGAAGATGTTTCATGCCAAATATCTAAGCTCTAGCTGTTATGGTTTTTTAAAAGAAGATATTTAAAGTTTTTTCTTTTGGTTGCCATGGCAACCAGAGTTCTGCATGGAATTAAATTCTTTGAACAATTTTTAAAGGTGACCACCAAAGGAACATTCTTGTGAAGTTTGGATGAAATTGGCTCAGTGGTTTATGAGGAGATGTCATTTAAAGCAAAAGTTTACGGACGGACGGACGACGGACGGACGACGGACGGACGGACGGACGCCGGACGAAAAGCGATCACAAAAGCTCACCCTGTCACAAAGTGACAGGTGAGCTAAAAAGTAAAATAATAGCATCCTGATTAGCATATAACTTGATTTTTTTTTGTGCAAAAGTCAAGCTAAAAATGACGAAACATTTCACTATGGTTTAAATTTTTTGATACTCATTTAAACAGCTTAGAAATGGCAAATTATCTTCATAAAACTGATGAAACTTTCAGACATTCACAAGGTAATAAAGAAAGCAATATCGGGGGATATATGAAAGAAACAACAAACACCAGGTTACATGAGGAATTCTGATTTTAATTCTTCAAGACTTGAAACATGCATTCCTTTTTTTAAATAGATAGGTCTTTAAAACCTTTTACCCAATAGGCTATAGTTTTATCTTTTTTTTTTTCAAACATTTTATAACCATTTATTTTTTTCTTCACATAATTATCTTTTGTTATACAATAAACAAACACTTGATTAAAATCCACAATGACCAGATATATAAATATACTGACAAATAATGTATAATAGGAATTTCATCTTGTTCTTACAAATACTTATTACAATGTAATATACTTAATTCGTGAGTGCAAACATATACATGTACAAAACCATTTGAAGTAAATCAATTAATTTGATGATGGCCCACCTTTTCTGCTTTGTTCAATCTTATGTAAAAAAAAAAAGAAGAAAAAAAAAATACAATCATCTAAGTGTTCTGCTCTTAATAAAATAATTCTAAGATTATTTTCATAGGAAAAAAAAAGATGCATATAATTATATTAATTGTAACAAATTACTGCTATTTCTCTTAAATATCACATTACACGTTTTCAACAAAAGCTTAATTAACTTTAACAAGAACACATTTACAAAAAAATCTTACTCATAGAGTATAAATATATGAGCACAGTCACAACGAAACCAACATAATGGGTTTGCGACCAGCATGGATCCAGACCAGCCAGCGCATCCGTGCAGTCTGATCAGGATCCATGCTGGTCGCAAACCCATTATGCTGGTTTTGTCGTGACGCGGCTCAGATGTTATTACATTTTTTAATTTTTTGCTAATTTTAGCTTCTTTTTTTAAAAAATCTGTTTTAAGAAAATGAAATATTAACAAAACACCTGTTTACAACACTAAAATATAATAGTAAAGCCAATAAGCAAGAACTAATTTTGAAAAACGAAACATTTACTATTAAATATATGCTTGAAAAGTAATGCAGAAATTTGATAATACTAAAAGTAAAATAAATAATTAGAAAGTAAAATTAATTATGATGTTCATCTCAACCCTTAGACTTCTGGGTGGCGATTAAATTTACCAGCCCAGCCAGTGCAGACCAAGACAAGCATGATTTCTGATCATAGTCTGCACTTTTCACTCAGACATTGTATTTTATTCAAATTGTTATTTGTCTTACTTTGAGAATGAGTTAAATTTTTTTTAATGCAGTCTTTTCACCAAATTAACAAATTTGCTGTCTTTTTTAATGCAGAATACACAATTTTGCAATCTTTTGTAAGATGCAATTTACATTTTTTTGCAGTCTTTTGGAAGACCAAAGTAAATTATTTTGCAGTCTTTAGTAAGACAGAATAAACAATTTATGTTAAAAAATGGCTGATTAAATATGAAAAGCATGAACTTCGCACAACAACAAAAAGTAGAAAAGCATGGGGCATATCATTGTTAATAGCTGTAGAATCTGGGTCAGCATCACACACAGGTGGGTTCAGGAAGCAGAGAAAAATGCAACAAAGGGTTCCGCAATGCTTCAAATGTCTCAGAAATAAAGTTCATCAGAAATATTTGAATCCTCACAACAGGATTAAAAGTAACAAGTTTGACTCCAACAAATCTTTAAGAACAACAGAAAAAAAAAATAGTATTATGTATTTTCTTTGTAATTATATATTTACATATGTACAGACTATTTTGTCACATTTGTTCTGTTCAAATTCTATATACAATGTACATGTATACACACTGGCCACTTAGCAATTTTTCTTACATTTATTCTACAGTAAAGTCATACAAAATTTCACAAAATAGAACATTTTCTTCAAAAAATAAATTTGACATAAATTTCCTTATTAGAAAACCAATTTACAGTTATTTTATTTAATATCATTAACTTACTTTTCAATTGAAATAGATCAATAAGTGCAAAAGAATCTGAAAGAAAAAAATTGTTACCAATTATGAGGGTAAAATATTTAATGTAAAATCTAAAAAAAAAAGCATAAAAAATACTGAATTTTTCATCAAATATAAATTTGATAATGTAATAAATTTGTTTAATCAAAAGGTCAAATGTTACACACCTTCATATAATGAAAATTACGACAGATACTGCCAAGAATTCTATTGACCTAGTTATGTAATGACCTCTTAAATTTTGCCAGTAACTGTTATGCATTGACCTCTTTAATATTGCTAGTTATGTATTGACCTTTTTAATACTACCAGTTATGTATTGACCTCTTTAATTTCGACACTCAATTGACAGTTTTGAAACGGTTAGTAGCTGCCAGATTTGCACTGACTTCTTTTGAATATTAATACTTTTGTATTGCCTACTCTTAGATTGCCAGTTTTGCATTGACCTTGTGATTCCAGTTCTTAATTGACATCGCTCTAATAAATTGCTGATAAAGTTTTGCATTGAACTGTAATATTATATGAAATCTTGTAGTCATACTGTATTTGACATACTTGTTAGCTAATTTATCATCTCACAATATACACAATCTTTCTATCATTATTCATAATGAGCTGATATGTACATATTGGAATTATTTATAAAATGTGAACAAGACATTACTTTCACACGATTCTTTTTGTATGATAAAATTCATACTTCATGTTTAATTAATCAACAGTTCAGCAATACATAGGTGTAAGTAGATCTGCAAGATCACTTGAGTTAACAGCACAAACTTGAGTTAACAGCAGGATCATAGAGTTAACAGGAAGACAACCTAAGTTTACAGCACAGTTATCCCAGTTAACTGCATGATAATCTGAGTTAACAGCAAAAAAAAATGGTGTGCTGAACTATCAAATGAGCCGCGTCACGACAAAACCAACATAGTGCGTTTGCGACCAGCATGGATCCAGACCAGCCTGCGCATCCGCGCAGTCTGATCAGGATCCATGCTGTTTGCTTACCAACCCTATTACAAGTAGAGAAACTGATAGCGAACAGCATGGATCCTGATCAGACTGCGTGGATGCGCAGGCTGGTCTGGATCCATGCTGGTCGCAAACGACCTATGTTTGGTTTGTCGTGACGCGACTCTAATTGCTTTCAATTAATCAAAATCATTTCCGCAAACTAAAATCAAATAAAACTATACACAATTTAATCATACAAATTTTGTTTATTCTTTTCATATCTTAATGCCCTGGGCTTACATGAACAATAATAAAATGCCAGAATGGTAACATCTTAAAATATACAAATACACAGAAAAAAACCCCAAAAAACAACTGGCCAATAAAATGATTTCCTTTTTATAGTATAATACAAATGACATTAAAATTCTGTTTTCGTTAAAATATCGAGGAAAACCTTTGTTGAGATTGAAAAAGTAACATTTGAATATTTTGCTGCATACAAATTCTAATCCATTTGTTTTTTCTTTAAAATTATTGCTACCTTTTTGAGAGGATGGCCACAGATGCTCCATTTAATTCAGGACATATTTAGCACAATTAAACTAATTTTACTTTTAGGCAGCTCTATAATTTTCACTCAAATCTAACCTTGATAAATTTGTACAATGAACGTGTCCTTTTCTGGATTCGGAATTATCCATTTTTAGTTCGAGGTTTTTCAGAATTGAAATACTAAAATGGACTAGGCCAACAGTAAACAGTCTGATTAGACTGTATTTGACATTTTTTTAAGCCATATCTTAAATGTTTTTACCTTATGACAACAATTTTTATCTTATAGCCCCCTAGAAATCCCTATAATAATTTTGAAACAGATATTCTTGTATTGAATTTTTCACAAAATATTTATAATCTGTCTTCATGTAAAAAATGATATAGATCTATACACAATATAAAGATTAACAAGTTAAAGAACATTGTGAAAGAATTTTTAAGAATAGCACTATCTCAGTTCTCTCCCTTGAACTATAAATGATATAGAGAAATTGGTTGTCAAATAAAGAAAAACATTCTTATTTGTAACCATGTCAGTTTGAAAAAAACGGATATTGAAACTGTCCTGGTTGAATAAATTAAACTTAAAACAGAATCGGTTTGTATGACAGACAGGTGAATTGTCACTGTTCGAATAAAAATAAACATGTGTTCATACTGAACAAAAATCTTAGTCATCATTCAGGTTGAATACAAATTTGTCAAACCTTTTTATTTATATATAAATCATATCTTGAAAGTTCTCGGATATTTCCTCACTGAATCGATAAAATCAGTTACAGAAATTGAATACCTATCAAGAAAGAATAAATGCATGTGCGATTTGAGTCGATCATTTATCAAGTTTTTCCATCAGTCAGTTTTATCCATCAATAACTATTTCTTTTTAACTATTTCAATAGAAAGACCGTAAAGATGTATATGACCAAGACTTCATTATATTTCAGGGTCTATGGAAAGGTCTAAGCTTCTCCCCGACTCTCCGTTACTACTTTCTACAAACATTTCGTTAAACTCTGTTAAGCGAATATTATGAAAACTAATCAACACTTGGCGAAATTGGAACAGTATTTTTCCATCAGCCTTTACTGTTATCTTAAGTTATTTCACGCTTGATGAATTTTTACAAAATGTTTGCAAATTTCGTAAACAAAATTTTAAAACTAGGTCACAGAAAATGTTTGCAAGTAACTCATTAATTATTCATCAGCTGTATCTATAATGCATTTCCTGTGAAAAATTTCGTGTTTCACTGCTCGTAAATTTGACGACATTTCGTAACATCTCTCTACGTATTTTTTTAATATAACAAATACTCGGATCCTCGTTAATATCTCAAATTTATTACACATAGAACATTCAAAACTTTATTACACAGTTTTCAATTAACATAACATAAAATCATGACATTCTTTATATTTTAACATGAACTTTATGCCCTTGTACACATTTACAAATTACATATTGTAAAAACTAAAGCCTTCACCACAAAAATCTAGATTTTACTCGTTTAAGACATGTTTTGTTTTCTTTTGATTATGTATTTCAAAAAACTCAATAATTACACATGAATAACTTCTGATGTATAACCCTGAAACTGGTTTTAAAAATGCATTTTCATCATCTTGATCAATGACTTAAGGTCGTCTTGGTTTGATGGTAAACCAAGTCACATGACAACACAAAATGTTGTGGGCGGAAAACCTTTAAACCACGAAATAAAAAACCGCAACTTTAAAATGAAACAAAGCACTTGGAAAGGCGGTATTCCTCTTAACTGCATATATAAACACACGAGTCATTATTCTATAAATAGATATACAATTTGTTGAAGGAAGTCCTATTTTTAACTTGAACATTTTACGGTTGTTCTAAATTTTTCATTTACATTAAAATTTTGATATAAATTGAATGCATTAATATTATCATAAAACATTTATTTCCTCCTCATCAAAATGAGTAACAAATAATCATGATTTAAACAAGGGCTTTGGACATGTTATATGAAGTATTAAGTTGATCCATCTTGACAAGTCTTTTGAAAGGCTGATCTAAATCATCTCAGTAATATTTGCCCCCTGTCCAGTATGTGGTCAGCAGATGATAAGAGTTCATATCATCAAGTCACCTGTGTGATAGAACAACTAATGTGCCACCTGTTATCTGATATTAAGGTGAAGGCTTTAGTTTTCAACCCTAAATACTAGATACAGTAAACCCTGCATTAAAAGACCACCTCTGACCACAGGTCATTTGTCGTCATTTGACTAACCACCTTTTTTATCCATGGTTTTAAACAACTCAGGGTTTCCATTCAAAAGATTAACATAACTGTCATGAAAAAATAACTCTTTGAAATCATTTCAACCCAAGCCTCAAACATTTAAGTTTGTGTAAACCTGCACTATATGACCACCTCCACCAACAGACTGCCCTGAACTCATTAATAAAGAGATCTTTTAATGCAAGGATTATTGTAGTTATCACAAATAACTCTTTATGATATCACTGTTTGACATACGCTGTCAATAATCTCATAATGTTTTCATTGCTTTAAAACATACAGATTTCAGTTTCCTCTCTCCAAATAGTGATTTAAAGATCGCAATAAAAAAAAAAGAACAGGAAACAAAACAACAGTTTTTTCTTCTTTTTCTTTTCAATTCAGAAACAGAGAACATATTTTAACACCAAGATATTTATGATTATATTACATATATGATATTGGTAAGGGTTAATCACAACACAACACTTTACTCATGGAGTTATGGTAAAGTAGCGTGAAACCCTTATTTCATTTTTTAAATGTGTAATAATCATGAATGTTTTTTGTTTTTGTTTATATAGTATAATGCCGGTATGACATGGACATGCATGTAAAATAGTTCATATTACAAAAATTGATCTTTATGATTAAACAAATTGTCACCTTATTGCAGTAACAGGTTAACTCCTATTGAATTATATAAGGTGTTACCTTTTACTGCACTAAGGTGACTTTAAGATATGACTGCTGTACAGTAGCCGACACAGCCACTTGTCAGCGTTTCTGATAAAAAAGCTAAAATTCAAAAACATCTCAAGTCAATAACTCCAGACTAATTTACAAATGTATGGAAGAGAAAGTCTTCGTAAGTAGTGGAAAGAAATAGAGAAATGATTCTGTACATAATTACAAATCCAAACATGGATGTGCAAGATTAAAAGTAGACATGTGAAAAATAAGAAATCTTAGAAATAGAATGAGGAAAAGATTGATAAAATTTGATAGGCTACAGTTGGTTTTTTTTCAGCACGATTTCTTTCATATAAAGCACTTAAATGGTGATATATGGCTAGTTTAAAAGCAAGAATGGCAGGGTAGGGTTGGGGCTTTATTTTGTATAAGGAGTAGAGTCTATCACTGGATCTTCCACACAAACATCCCAGTCAGTATGGAACTATTAATGTTTTGTACAGGTTTCCATAGTCCTACTAGGTCAGTTCCATTTATTGTTCTTTACTGTCTTTTTATTCTTTTCCTTTATTTCATACCCATCAATATTTCTATTTTATGTTATATCCTGTCATAGTCTTACTCATTAAGCTGGTTTGTTTCCATCCTTAGTCACTGAACTAACTTCCTTTAGACCATATTTGACATCTCTTAAAACGTTGAATAAACGTTGAATCGTTCTCATATTTGCATACATAACATCTGCAAACAGGAATTCATTGAGAGAACACGTCATCGGTCTTATCATTCTTCATTGCTCCCCCTTTTTTTCATGGACTGTTCACAGTTGGAATACTGAACAAAAGGGAGACCATTCTTCCCTTACCATTTCCAAGGCAGGTAACTTTCACATTCTTATTTTATCATTATGAAGTTACCTCCCTTAAATCCAGTGTTGTGAGCACTGAGTATAGAGTGTAAGCGATGTGTATAAATACATCTTGCCGTCCCTTCATGATGATGATGATGGTAATGGTTGTCGAGGTTGTGCCAGTTTAGCTAACGTTTCCGGACTCGCAGCAGCGCGCAGGATACCGTTCTCGTACTCGAGTTGATTGTTTCTCTCGATAAGCTCGGCGATCTGCTCCTTCAACACCTCAACTTCTTCTCTTACAGCAAACATCAGATGACTCTTCACCAGATCCTGAAGGTAGAAAAGTAAATAAATCATTAAAACAACTAGCTTTATTGGTACAAAATAACAACATTCCTTAAAATGGTAGAAAATTGCATGGAGACGGCAAATTATTTTCTTCAGTGCAAATCAAATATGTCTTAAACTTGAAACAAGATCAATTTCATTTCCTGGGAAGTGTCAATGATATGCTGAATATTAAAATGATGATGTTATCATGTACTTTAACATTTGTTATCTTGCCACATAATAATCAGATATTTATTCTTTTTTAATATTTGATTTACAATAAATATAAATCATAAATGTCTCCTATAGAGGAGATATATTATACACAGCAGTTAACAGTAATTATTTCTTCTATTTTCTGTTGATTTCATCTTTAAATAAATTAATAGTTACAAAAGTTACAATTTTAATTTTATAAGAATTATACAAATTTAAAGTCAATTTCATTTCCATTATGTACAAACCCAAGATAAACTGATTAAAGTAATTGTCACTCCAGGTGCTTAATATTTGCTATTCTTTATTGTGGATATGTATACCTGTATTGTGAAAACCTGTATTGCGAAATCCAATAACAAAAGAATATATACAATTGCAGAAAAGAACACCTTACCAAAATTTAGGAGCCTCTGACCTTGCGAAATAATGACTATAAACTAATCAACAAGAAAATAATTAAATTTTTATTTCAAGCTCTTACCAGATAATGATCGTCCCTTAATTTCTGCTCAATCCTTTGAATGAGAAACTGATCGATTCCGACAGCTTTAAACTGAGGAGCCAATCTCAATATATCAGCCATTATTTTCATTTAATTTTAACTATCTATGCTATAAATATTTCTATTCCTAGAACAACAACTTCCTATTTGCTTTAATTTTCCAAAAATATTTTCTCTTCTATTTCAGTTGTGTGTGTGTTCACTACCACTGAAGAGCGTTAAATGAACTTTTGTATCGGCAACCAATACACTTTATATATATACACAATCATACCGACCAGAGGTGATTCACAGTTCATTATACCGCCCAATGTTTAACATGGCCTACTTTACTGCCACATCCTTGAAAATACACACAACACATTCATGTTTTTGCCAGTGGTCAATAACTCTAAAAGGACTTGTTTTGCAAGCTTTTACAGATTAATCAATATATCACTTAAAGCACAGTACTCCCACTATTAAAGCATTTTTTCAATATGATTATTGTCAATATTTACTTGCAGTTGTTAAAAATAATTTTACAGATTTTATGACGAAGTTTATATTGTCAGCTTTCTAGAAAATTTCCGTTTTAAAGCGAAATAGACCTAGAAGGCTTTGATAAATCAATAACATGTGAGATTTCCCTCAATGGAAAATTTTGCTTGATGGTTGCTGAGTCTGTTTGTTTGTTTGTGTTTTGAACTAATATTGGAAAATAGAAATTAGAACAACAGCAGGCTACATTGAGTATGATTGCAAAATAACTTGTAAATGAAGATTGCAAGATAAGCTTTCTATGGTACAAAACATACAATTTTCTGATGAATATGTCGCGAATAAAGCAACACAAAATAAGAAATATTTTGAATGTAAATTTGACACTTTTCAAGTATCAACGCCGTCTTCCCTGCAGTTTAGGACTACTGTGCTTACTTAACAGAGATTTAATATGAGGTTTATTAATGCTAATGGTTTTATACATAAAAGTCTGGCCTTAGTTAGCCAGTTTCACGTTGGTTGATATTTGAAATATGATTAATAAAGGTCAGTCTTCCAGCTGACCTGATTGTGATGGTATGTGGTCCAGCAAGCAATGATTTTGACATCCACCGAAGTGGGAGTTTATTAATAACCTTGACCTATATAACAGTGTCCAAGCTCGTATACAATAATGTCTGACACATGACCTTAAAAGTGTAGGTGTATTAGTATCTAATGTGTTTCAAAAATATTTTTTTGGTCCTGGATTCTGACAGAAGGAGGGAAAGAAGTTTCTATAACAAGTTTCTCGTGTCATTAACAAATGAGTTATAACAAAAAGAGAACCAAACTATTAGCTGTTTTAGTTTTTCTCCTAACGTCACAACAGCAGGCTTTACGACTGAATAAAATTTGTGTTGCAGAAAATACACTCGCTTGACGGATGTTTATAGGTCAACCTTCATAACGCAATCCTATTAAAGACACATTTTCCTTTGTGTTTGACAGCTTAACCTTAAATAAATCATTCCTCTTTAGCCTAAAATAACTTTAATTAGTATGCATGCCTTTAACTATTTCTTGTCAATAGCACACAAGGAAAAAACTAAGGCTTGATAAAAAAAAATCAGTAAGATTACGTGTTGACGCCCTGCCCTAATCTATGCAAATTCAAAGGAAGTTCTTATTTAAATCTACAACAATGACTAAAATTGCTATTTATAGAATTGATAGTAACTGCTGAAAATTTATCAGCTGATTTTTCAAACCACAAATATGTAAAATCACTCTATCCACAACACCTACAAGTTAAGTTCCTGTTCAATCTAAAACCACAATGTTTGCTTTACAAAGGGGTGCATCTATGACATAAACAGATCTGCCTTAAGTCATCTTTAAACAAACATGTAAATCAGGATGTTTACACTTAACAATACAGGTGTTCTAAATGCATACATGCAAACTTTTTTTCGATGATCAAGTTGGAGATTTTCTTCAAAATGAGGGAGATTATAAACAAAGAAGAAAGTTCTGACATCAAAAAAGAGGGAGATTTCTTTAATTTGTGAAAATACCCCTTATTTTAAGAAATATGTTTGAAAATATGGCTGCAGAAAGTGGGAGTTTCTCGCTAAAAGTGGGAGAGTTCACATGTATGTAAATGCACATACATTTATCTTATTTGCAGATCACAATACGTTTCCTTTTATCTTATTTACATATTTCAAACAGTTTTAAATGTTTGTGGGGGAGGGGAAGGGATATGAACAGACAGATACAATTACTTTAACTGTAAGTTTTAAGTTTTTAATGGACTTACGTACACACAACAAGAAAAACCAAGTGTGGCCAAAGCATAGGTCAAAGGTCATTTCTGCATGTTGCAATTCATAAAATACTCTGCATCTCAAACCATAGTCAACTTTTTAAAACTTTAATCCATAGCCCTGCTGACATTTAAATCTCTTACGTTTTAGAATATACAGAAGTACAGAAACATTTATCATCAGTTTATAAATGACCATCAAAGATAAGAATATAAATCTTGAGCTGTACTTATAATTGGAACATACAGCATTGTTTCCTGACCTTGTCATTGTGAAAGACACTCTCGTTTATCATGTGACCACAGTAAAGGTCAGCCGATATTAGACTGTTAAATAAACAAAAATAGCTTGTCTTAAAACCAACATGAGTGTACATTTTAACACTTTATCTATATTGTAAATTTAAACATAACTTTCTAAATACTGAAATGATGGTATATCTGTAACCTTGACAGGTGAAGTATAGGACTTAAATTTCACCCTCAAGTTATTGACCATGCACCAAACAGAGGATATCTATTTACAGGTACATGTATTGTACATTCAAAATGACAACAATATCCGTTTGTGGACAGCACCATCCCCTATGCTAAGCAGAAAAGGGGCATTATTCTGGAAGTGTTTGGTAGACTTATCTGCCCTTACAGTGAAAAAAATATTTTGAATATGTTAACATTTTCAAAGAAAAATCACAGAAAAAAGTCCACAATGGGTTATAATTATGCCCTTTAAAATGCATTCAAATTTTGATAATGAAAAAATGTTACAAGTCTGAATGATAGTTCTAAGAAATGAACCGATTACAAAAAAATCAAATTGTAAAAGGGAAATAACTTTAAAAAAATTAAGTATCAACCCTTTCACAAGCCTCATTACCACTCAATTGGCAAGTGCTCATGTAACTGCAACACATGACAGATATTATCACATTATTTTTCTTGTTACACTTTGCATTGGCCAAGCTGCACATCTGAAGTAAAATGGATATGGAACATTATAGATTTCAGACAAGATAAACTATTGTCATATAAATCAGTTACCTAGAAATAAGACAAATGAAGAGTGTTCACTCTTAAAACAATAGCTCCATAATGAACAGACCAAGGTTACCATTTTTTATTGATCATGACTAGAAAATGCCCTGTCTATGTATGACACTACATAATATCTCACACCCACAACTTGGCCATTACCATAAAACTGTGTCAACCTTTTCATACCACCCATTTACTATGTCCACTTTCTGTCAGCAATTCCCAGCTTCTAATATAAATCTAACAAATCTAATGTGCCCCAAATGAAACACCCACGCTGGATATTTTTCACATTCACATGTAAAACCTATTTACTTTGATAAGTGAACATTTACCTTTTAAGGACAAAAAAGCACTGGCAATCATTTATGCTGCTTGAGTGAACATCTAAATTGCATTACCTTGCTTTGAAATTATCATAAATAACTTTAAGGTTATTTCCCTATTTAAAATAAATGTTTTTGTGGTTAGAGTAGCCAAGCGGGCAATAAAAATTTTGTTTACACATTTTAAATTAAGATTAAGTATGAAGAATGAACACCTGCATTTTTTTACAACAGATTACCATATATGGTATGTGCATTTTAGCTATAACTCAGCCCAGGGCACGACATAAATCTTGCAAATTCAGGACATTAATGACAATAATTTGTGCAAGTTTTTAATTTTGGTTTATTTTTGTGTCATTTAATCCAAAGAATTAGTTTGTCCTATTTTACATTTTTTTCTTTAATGCTGGAAAGATCAAAGCACTTTATTGCGGGCAGGTAACAGTTTAGAATATTGAATGCAAGTAGCTTTAGCATGGACTTGCCTTGCTTTTAGATGTGTGCATTGTTATTTTATGGGGTTGCATAACAAAAAGCTAATATTGAGCACAGACCAGTTCAGTATGTGATAAGATTGTGTGGATGTGGTTGTCAAAATTATTCACCTCCAACATTAGGTCATTATGAGTACAAGTCTTACAATATCATACCTTAAACTGCTGTCTCCCTTTAATTGCCTTTGTCCAGTATTATTCAAGATAAAAAAAATAATTGAGCCGCGTCACGACAAAACCAACATAATGGGTTTGCGACCAGCATGAATCCAGACCAGCCTGCGCATCTGATCAGGATCCATGCTGTTCGCTTACAAACCCTATAACAAGTAGAGAAACTGAAAGCGAACAGCATGGATCCTGATCAGACTGCACGGATGCGCAGGCTGGTCTGGATCCATGATGGTCGCAAACCCATTATGTTGGTTTTGTCATGACATGGCTCATATGATGGTCAGCTAACGGTATAGAGCCTGGTATGTGTAGGCTAGCCTTGCTGCATGCTCAAGGTATCAAGCAAGATAAGGGTTAACTTGAATATGTTCATTCTTTTCAAATTCATAACTGAATCGCAAAAGTTATTTGCTAATTTTTTGTTGGTTTGTTTTTGTTTTTCTTTTTTAGAATTTTATTTTTTTAAATTCCAGTCTGTTAATTTTTCAAGTAATTAAGAAACAGGTTTCTCATGCCCAATGACATAATTACATTAAATTCTTTTATTTTTGGAAACTTGAAAATTTGCAACTTGGCAACCGATTGTTAGATAGAAAACGCCACAATTCTAATGCAGTTTTTTCAAACCTTCTATCACGATAAATAACCAAAAATAGCGCACTAACTGCTTGTTTGTTCCACAGGTAATAACATCAGCTGATTACAAAAAATTTCTAAGAAAACCACATTTTTTAACCCCATATTATTTTTTGCTTGTTGTTTTGTAACGATTTTCCCAGAAGGATCTAATTAATAACGTAAGCCTCTTTCTGACAGAGGTGTGCCAAACTCAATTAATAGCAAACACATAATAAATAAATCATTAAATTCTGAGCCAATCGCTTCTGCCTGTTTTTCCAGGTAATTAACTTTGTTTGCTCTCGGAAAATGTTGCAAAATAGCAAAATAACAAGGATCAGATCTATTAAGCGGAGCCATTTATTTTCAGGTGATATGGTAGAATAGAAAGAGATATCTTTGCCAGACTGTTCTTCTTTGTTTTCTGTCAGGTTGATAGATTTAAAGACTTCTATTCTCAGTTAAAATATTTACTTTGGCATGTTTTTATTTGTTGATGCACAAAAGAGATCTGTAATGTCTCTTTGCATTAATCTCAGCTGACTTCATGACCTAAATTTATAATTTCAATTTCGGTCTAAGATCCTACCTAACTATACCCTTGTTATTCTTACAAACCCCTAACAAATATTGTTAACTTTTAAGATGTGTCTTTTGTGCACTAATTGCATGTATTTTGTATTGACGTTAAGAAAATTCACTTCTTAAAGTTTATATATATGTTAATTTTTTGTTTGGTTTTACGGAGCACCAACACAATTTAGGTCATATGGCGCAGAAACAGGAAAGATGATTTTGTTTTAACATCCTACTCACATGCCAGAGCTAAGAGTTGCAAAGACTCCAGTAATTCAAAAGCGTTAAGTATCCTCTTAAAATCACACAGAGATAAACGGTGGCTGCAAATCTGATGCCTCAACCCTTAAGCCATAAAGGGGTATACATGGACTAAACTAGTTTTAATAGATGGTGAATGACATCCATCTGTGCATTGTAGCAAACCAAACAGGCATTAACCATGGACTGAGTAGTATGATGCTGCTTCAGAAATGGTCTGCACCATGATCACCAAACTGTCAATATTAACTTATACATTTTTTAAGAGTTATGGCCCTTTAATATCAATTTAAATTGCACAAATTTAAGATAATAAAGCTCAATTAAAAGCATTATGTCAACTTTACACAAAGTTCCTCCCTTAAATTTTACTTTTCATTTTATTTTGTTTCTTGATATTTTGTAAATCTACATTTAAGCTATGAATATGTTTATGGAATTTTTACGTGATAAGTATATGTAACTTTCCTAAAGTTTACAGTTCATAGGCTTTATTTACATCATTTTAGGTCAATGATCTACTGGCATAGTTTATTACTATTTATTAAATCATACTTACCTGTATTAACAAACAATCTCTAAATGGGACAAGTTCCGCGTCATCAAACTATTTTAAAGGTACTCACCTTTATCAACCATCTATCAATTCAGTCATTCACCTCTTGACATATACTTTACCTTCATTCAAACTAAAAAATATTTGCATCTAAACTGAACTTATTCTTCAGGTCTGGGAATATAGCAATCAAGCACATCCTGTCTGTCTTGGATCAAATTATATTTTTTCCCTTAAATAAAATCAAGCACACTTACCATGGCTTGCTCTATCTTGTTATCTATAGCCACTGTACTTGATCCACTGAAAATAGAAAATGGGAAACACTTAAGTCATGGCTGACAGATTGGTCAATACTTTTATAGCTATCCAGGGAGTCATTAAAGACCTTCCCTGTAAGACAATTGTTCCACAAAAGTGCCTGCAATGAAATTTACTTTTATAGTATGGTAAACAGCAGTTAAATGCATGCCATATCTCTGGTCTAGACCCTGTGTAACAGTAAAAGCAGTTAATAACAAATAATATCTAGAATACAAAACAGATATTCATATTTTACAGATTATGCTGGCTTAAAAGTTCAATATTCTGAGAGTTTATATTAGCTAAAAATACTTTTTTCACCTAGCAATGAAAGATATATTCAGTATCAAACAATAATTTCATATTCCTGTTTCCCCACTTCTGATAAGAAACTGATAATATTTATAAACAGTTTTCATAAAGTCCTAGTAAACAGTTCAGGTATCAATGTAAACAGTTACAACATAAATCCTTTGGAAAATGTTGAAAACAAAATTATATTTAGAAGAAGAGAAACTGAAGCCTTGTACAAATTGTATCGAGGACAAACACTTGTCTTTTGAGACAGGTTTTTCATAATAAATCAATTTAAATTCAGTGTTTCATAATAATGTAATCCTTTCAAAAATTGACACAATCAAGCATTGCCAATGAATTAGTTCCTGCCAAGTTGAGCTAAAAATATATTTAAATGAAATTAACCTGGTGTTCTTGTTCTTTAAAACCAGAACAAAATGAGCATCCATCATGAATGTAAAGGCAAAAAAATCCTGCATTTATAATCCCAGAAAGAATAGAAAATACAAATATAAATTTCCGATATCTGACTTTTTGTTGACAACTTTGCCCCAATTTCTGGGACTAATGATTATTTGTCTATACACCCTGATACAGTAATTCAGTTTCTAGCACCAAATCAATAGTCCTTGTTTTTTACTATGAGAAGGGAATGTCAAGAACTTTGTCTGTTATCAAGGGGGTAAATATATATACAGTTGACTCTCGGTAACTCGAAATCCAAGGGACTGGGCATTTTACTTCGAGAGAAACGGAATTCGAGTAATGTGGAACTACCGCCATTACGTTGACATTCGTACATGTATATACATGTGCCTGATTGAATGTGTAAAGAAGTAGGTTGTTATTGTTGTTAGCGGCAATGCTGCAATATTTGACCATTGAAATGACGGTAAATAACTTACAACTACAAATTATAGATGAACAAAAATATATCATTCAAAATTTAATACATGTATATAAATAGTGAAACATAAACACACAATTATATTTGATTTAATTGATCATCGGACGAAAATGAAATTAGCAACTATCGTGAACCGGAAGTACAAATTAATGTATGCAATATGACGGAACATTAATTATACAAATGTTATTTACGTTGATAACACACATCAATATCTAGGCTTTTATTTGACTACCACCCGTCAGACTGGCACGAGTCAACTTTCTTAAAGCAATGTAATTAAATTTTAATTTAGTTATCTAACTGTTAAAACCAATTAAGTCCTGAATCGAATTAAAGCCACTTTTACGACGTGTTAATAATACATGATGACCGGCAATTAAAAATTACTATGAAACGTGTAAATCACGAGTGACAACATCTCACCTTGATGTCGCCGACCTTTGATCAGTCGGCTGTTTTCACACTTCGACTAATAGAGATGAAAATATGTTGTTCTTTAATTGACGGGACCAAATTTTCTTTTCGACTAAACAGGAGTCTTGGTTAGTCAAAATTTGACCTAAGCGGAGTTAAAATACAAAGTTAAAGAAGGAAATTCGACGGGACTTTAGAAATTTTTCGACTAAGGCGGAATTTTGAGTAAAGCGATTTTGACTTATTGAGATTCAACTGTATATGTATATATATATGAAAGTACTTAATTACATCTTCTGGGACAATAACTATAAAAGATAATTTTTTTCTCCCTCTAAATAACAGTATAATAATCAGTATTATAGCGACCATCTAGCAAGAATCAATATTAATTGCGCTTTGCTTAATCAGTGGTATTTTAGACCTATTACTCATAAGTAACTTCTTTTCCAAGACTTTGTAAAAACAAAATCATGACAGTGATTTTTCTCACTTAAATGAGAAGAGGCCTTAGCCTGGCCTTGTTTTTGGGGAAAAAATATTGCTAAAATTGCTCATTTGGGAAGTAAAAGAGCTGGTTTAAGTTCAGATTTTTGGGAAAACTGCATGATTTTAAAGAAAATTTCAATTGGGAAGAGGCCTTTTTCTAGAGTCCAATTATATAAGTAGGAAAATCACTGCATGAGTAACTATTTTTCAAGATTTTGTAAAAAAATCACCAAAAAAACAACAACATTACTTAAATGAGGTTTTTCCACAGAGAGGTAGTTATTTAAGGCATATAAATGTCATCATGAGAGTATTATTGTCTAAAACTGTGATAATGAAAGTATAATTTAATTAATGGCTTCTGTCCTGTTATGTCAACTTGTTCATATACATTTCTGCATGCTTAAAATTAACCACATAACTTGAGCTATATTAACCATATAATATGTGTAAAGTCAACCACATAATTTGTGTTTATATTAACCACAAAAATTGTATTTTATTAACCACATATCTTGAGCTATATTAACCACATAATCAGTGTTGTATTAATTAACCACCTTATTTGTGTTAAATTTACTACATAATTTGCCTAATATTTGCCACATTATTTGTATTATATTTACAACATAATTTGCCTTAATATTTACCACGCAATATGTGCTATATTTACCACATTATTTGCCTTATATTTACCACATAATTTGCCTTATATTTACCACATTACTTGCCTTATATTTGCCACAAAATTTCATATTATATTAACCACATTATTTACATTATATTTGCCACATTATTTGCCTTATATTTACCACATAATTTGCCTTGTATTTACCACATAATATGTCTAATACCACATAATTTGCCTAATATTTACCACAAAATTTGCCTTATATTTACCACATAATTTGCCTTATATTTACCACATGATTCGCCTGATAATAACCACATAATTTGCCTTATATTTACCACATAATTTGCCTTATATTTACCACATAATACGCCTGATAATTACCACATAATCTGCCTTATATTTACCACATAATTTGCCTTATATTTACCACATAATTTCCGTTACATTTACCACATAATTGAATGCATAATCATATAAACCACATTATTCCTTAAAATACAAACCTTACAGAATTGTGTGAAATTTTCCAGAAATATTAGCAAACAGAATTGTATTTGCAAACATTCAATTAAAATTCTAAACTATAATCATTATCTGACAGAAACAAGGTTGCATGAATTAATAATCAAAACAAGGAAGAACATACTGGATAATTATATACGGGCAATATTGATTTGGTTGGTGATATAACAATATGTCACTAGTGTATCATATATATTTTGTACTTAATTGCAGGCCATCATAATTCTTTCAGTCAGAACATAAAATTATCACATAGATCAATGTATGTCTTTAGTTAGAATTTCTTCTTCTTCAATAAATTGCGCCACATGCATGCATTGCAACTGCACCTGGAGCAAATCGATATATTTTTCATAAGAACAGTTACCATATAAACCCATCCTTATAATCCCTTTATAATATTATGTTTACATCCCTGTTTACATCATAATATTTCATGCGAAATGGAAGATGAAAATCAGAAAAAAATAAATATATTGGATAATAAATCATCATGGCGTTCCAAAAATAACTTGTTTACCTTGATGAAAGCCTCCGCCTCAATGTAGGAGAATTAACATATGCAACAACATGGCAGCTCATTTTTTCCTCTTTTAATATCGTCTACTTTTTACAAGGTATCTCTCAAACACAACAATCTTTTCCTTAAATATATTGTATTTATCCTATTTCTAAAAATTCACTATATTCCTTCTTTCTGTGTCACTATGTTATATAATGACATCGAAATATTTGTGTAACCTGTTTATGTAACCTGTACGGCCCTATCAATTAATTATATTCCAGATAGCTTGGTATTATCACAGCAATCTATTTTCTTATCTTGCTAAATGTATAACTTCCTTTCAAGACCTTATATCATTTTTAATAGCCTTATTGTTTAGAGATATGGCAGTTTTTTGTGTCTTTTTTTTCTTTATCTTAATTTCTTATCATCCAATCCATCAGAACCCCTAGCTATGATAATAAGTATCTCAAATCTACTTTATCTCAGTTTACCATCAAAAACCCTGAATCATTATGTAATTTACATCCAATTGATCATTATATGCAATTATCATCCAATTAAGTGTTTAGTTTTCTTTTTTCAAAATGCCCAATCAATACTTGATCCGTCTGACCTGATTCTGTTTGTTAATCCCTATTTGAGTAAAACGTTTCTGATATATCCAATTTTCATCTGAACACAGCACATGTTGCTTTAATTGTTTTATAATTATCCTTTTATGTCGCCACAAAAACGTTAATCTTCTCAAATATTCAGATCAACTTAACATTCACAGAAATACATAAGACATGAAATAACAGAAAAATATACAAACAAGCATATCACTTTTGCTGATAATGTTTGAAGTCGGCTGTATACAGTTATATATTATATATAACAGTGAAATTTTACCTGTTTTTAAAGAGCACAGGTATTATAATACACACACATAAATCTATCTTAAAATACTTACAAAACAACCTTGACATTTCTAAAAAAAAGCCATAAAGACATAAGCGCATCAGCTGTTTTTCAAGTTACGATATTTTTGTTTATTTAGAGACTTACGTAACCTACTTTGTTCCATCTATAAAACCTACATAAAATATAGACTTCACTTGGATTTATTGATTTCCCATGTTTATCAATGCATGTGCATTCAATCATATCAGAGATCTACGATGGCGGAAAAAATCAGCATTTATTTTTTTAAAAACCTGGCGGAAAAGGGAAAAGCTTTGCATGCG